GACTTATTACTTACCTTATAGGCTCAGTTTTGATGATATTAGATAGTTGGAGGCAATTGGCAGGAAGCCCTGTGTACCTATGTTTCGTGCTAGTTGGCACTCATCAACAAGGCGTATCTACAACCTTGAAGGAACTCATGTCCCTTCTGAGATTCGAACCCGTGTCACCCAGTTCTGCAGTCAGAGACGTCACCATTGAGCTATTCGGGCTTGCGATTAACCTCCTGTAGGACTATAGTGGGTATTTTGATGGGACACTAGTAACCAGTGTGACGTGTCTAGTCCTATCTTTGGTGCAGACTGAATCGCAAAACCTGACTGATAGAATTCAGTCTGCACCAAAGATAGGACTGGTCACGTCACACTAGTTACCAGTGTCCGATCAAAATAACTAATCAGTTTGTTTATTAGATGTATCACACATTAAAACAGTATTATTTACTGGATCACATTTCAAACAAAATTTATTGTTCATAATCATATCAATTGTAATCACACAACTTTGAAACTTGAGTTTTATAGTTTCCTTTGTCTTCTCCTATTTGTCGTCGTAGGGGTAGTAGAATGTTCCAGATATCTGGGATAGGTATTGAATCATTCCTATTACATATGTTTGCAGTTGATTCGATAAACAAAGCTGCTGTTATCAATCTCTTCCTCCATCCTGTGACATTAGATTTTAAAACTGTCATCCTATCCCATCCATCCTATTGTATGGTTCTGTGTAACTGCATGTAGTGCAATAGCTGAACTGTTCTCTAGATTTCTTATCTTATCCGGGTCAAGTAATTTAGATTTTGCTAGGTTTTTATGTTCGGCTAGTCTAACTGACTGTCCCTGTACTACTACTTTGACCTATGTATTTGATCTGACAATCATTGCAGGCAGGGTATTAGATAAACTAAATTGTTTTGTCTTAAAGGCTCCAAAGGATCCTCTAACCGACGAAGCTTGTTTCTAAATGAGTCTGTGGTTGATTTGAATGCCAGTTACTTTTATTCCTACCTTGTTAAGAATTCTGCGTCAGGTGGTTTCCGAGGTTCCTTCCTTGTATGGAATTACTAGCGGTGATTTATGTCGAATATCATGGAGACGTGAAAATCTAGAGAAAAAAACCAGCAGTTCAATAAAAGAAGCAATGATGGGTCTTCAAGTGAACAAACAAGACAAGACAAACGTACACATCAACGGACATGAATCATTATCAGCTGGATCAACTCGAAGGAAGTTACATCTAACCAATCTTAGCAGCATCATTTCCACTACAGGTGGCAAGGGTGATTATTTAGAAGACAGCCAAGACCACTAAAGCAAAACTGTGTGGAAATCTACCGCACTTAGTGTGAAGAAAACGCTCATGTCAAGTTAGTGCTTCTACGTGGTTCAGAGACTCAGTGAAAGCATTTACAACAGTCTACTGCATACTCTCATCGACAGCTGCTATCGATTCATACTGAAAATCAACAACTTATCGCTCAATAAACATACCGAAGGAAATCCAGCTGGGTGACATAAGATTCCAGTCCAAGGGTGATATGTACTAGATTATGTGAAGTGGAAACTGAGTCGTACGAACAATTATGGAGTCAACTGAATACGGCTACAAAGAGCAGGGTGAAATGAAAATTAGCTGTTGAATCTCCAAAAAAGGATTATTTAACTACATGACTGCATGTGGCCACCCCTGATAACTAGTTGGTGTACTCTTTTCATCTATTATCAAAACATAGGCTGAATAAATTGGGCTTATCTTAGGCAGAAATATAATAAGACACTGCTGTGATACACATCCATCACTAATATCGTATGTGTGCTCACTTAAAATCTCTTGAAACAAACTTCTCTTTCTCTATGATACAACAAAAACGCGTTGAGTACGAACACTTGTGTATGTATGTGCAGGTGGAGAATACTTGATATATCACATTTTAAACGATAGGTAAATCTATTGTCATTCATATGGGTTTCCATTACATCTTTTGGCTCATTCTATTGAGTTCCAAGGAGGAAAGAGGGCCACATACAGTGACGTCTCATTAGAGATGGTGTTGTGTGTATGGGGAGGGATTATCAACTTACATCAAGACGTCTTCTCTACTCCAGGCTTGATACTGACCAGTTAACAAAGACAGAATAAGGAGTTTGTCAGCTGCAGGTCACATCCAGACTTTTCGACTGGCTGGCGAGCATTTTGTGATTAAAATGGATGACCAGTGATGGATTTCATTATTAGTTTAACGTCATACAGAAGTGTATTAATTTTTTGAGGCTATGATATTCGTCTGACTATGTAAGATTGTTATTATACAAAGCCGCAAAAGATTTCCTTTCCTGTCTCAGCTAATAAGAATGCTATGTAGTTTATAATTTATGTAGATCGCGAATATTCTTATATTATATTGTTTTATTGGCCATTGCTCTAGGAACTTGATTTTTCGTGCTCGAAAACATCTACCAGTATGGATAAGTAAAGGTGTAGTGAAAACCATCAACAGTTCGATATTAGGCCATCTGGTTCAAACGGGCCACAAAGCCAGCATTGAAGAATCCTTCTCTATAATCTACCGAGTTCCGAGTAAATTGCCAAAAGCATCCAGGTAAAAAATACTCCAAACAGCAGAGGCTATCACAATTGACGTGAAACAACCAGTACTTTGTGTTCAGAAAAAGCAAATCTAGCTACTACAAGTGCTGTGGCTGGCCTTCAGTGGAGACTGTACATTCATGGATTTGTATTTTCGTCTTTCCTAAATTATCTGTCTGACAGTCAGATTATTGTTACGTTCATGTTTTCGAACTGTAATCCATTGATACTACTATTGATTCGATGTTATTTAAACAAAGCTAAATGTTATTACTAACACCAATTCATTTACTGTTATGTAGAACCTGATGATGAAGGTGTTATCAAAAGGAATATTCTATGTTTAGTAACCATTCCATTGAAAAATTTTAATGGGCAGTTTCAATCAGTTAAAATACACGACTCTTTTATAACGCCAGATATCGTTATTTTTGTTGTCTGGCCCAATTTCACAGCGTAAAGTTAACTTGATACGACCACTAAATTTATTTATCTTGAATAAATTGATTTTAAAAGAAATGTCAAACAACGTGAGTAAGGAATTTCACTTACACTGAGTTTAAGTGATGGGTGTAGCAATGGTTTCCCCACTAGGTGCAATCCTAGCTGATTTTTCCTCACTAAGTTATAGTATGGACCACTGAAAGGAGTAATTAGTGACTTGGATTTCTACTGTCGATATATGGATGATAAATTTCTGGTCATAAAAAACGAGAATGATGCAATGAACATCCTTGACAAGTTTAATGATGCCCATTCAGCAATAAAACGTATCATAGAGAAAGAAAGTAATGACAGTAACTCATTCCTAGACGTCTTCATAGCGAGGAAAGAAGATGGCACACTATGAAGGAGTGTGTATAGGAAACCTACTACAACATGTCAGTAGACTCATTTTTCGAGTTTTGTACCTTTGAAATATGAACGTAACCAGATAAAGGGTCTGGTTCATAAAGCTAGTTTAATCCGTTCAGACGACTGCCTCAATGAGGAGCTTAAGATTATTAGAGAATTAGTTGGAAAAAATGGTTATCCAGATAAGTCCATTGAGAAATATATGAATTCATCACCTAGGACAAACACTATGACAGCAGTTCCGAAAAAACCACTGTTCATAAGATTGCAGTTCCTCGGTGACAACATCAGCGAAATTACAACACAACGACTGAAGAATGTATTTAAAAGAGCATATTATGCAGCAGATGTACGTTGTCTCTTCACAACCAATCCTATTCTACGTTCGAGAAATAAGGATAAACTACCTAAATTTGCCTCCCCTATGTGGATCTACCAGTTTGAATAGAGCTGAGCCATCTGCTTCGTGAGTACAATTAGGCAGGCTCATTATCCTATTTCCGAACATCATCCAGCATGGCTAAGCAAGGGACAAACAAGATCTATTCGTAGCTCTATTTTAGCACACCTTGTAGATAGTGAACATAAGGTTGACGTTAATACAGCATTTAAAATTATTCATTTCATTCCTACTAACCTTAATTTTGCTCGACGAGTTCGTCTTCTACAGACAGCTGGAGCAATAGGAATCCACCTGAAGAACAAGCCAAACCTGTGTGTTCAGAAGAAATTTGTACAGCCACTTCCCCTAATCTTGGCCATCGTTACATGACTGTATAAACCTGACTACTTCAACCCCCTCCCCCTAAACTTTTTAAAAATTGTAAAAATTATAATTGTCCAAATTATTTTTTTTTGACCACTTCATCTTTAATTACATGTGATCCTTGTAAAATGACTTTATTCTTATGATCACTTCTACCTTAGTTACAAATTATCATTATCCAAATCATTTTCTTTTCTTTAACAATCTGTTACGTAATCAATCTGTGCACATGCTTATTCCTTAATTACTCTTCATTTTTCCAAAATTACGCAATAATGCAATCCACTTGTAACCATTTCCACCTTTTAATTGTGTATACTAATTTTCTTCGTTAATTATCACCTCGTTGACATTTTTACACTGACTAATTATTGTTAACAAACATATCAGTGTCACTTGATTGGTAAACTGTTGTGTATTGTAATAAAAATGCTTTACGTGTATATTAGAGTAGAGCCAGAGATGAAGATCTAATTGAAAAGTAAATATTTCTTCACTCAATCTTTCTATTTTCTAAATGTCTAAATGGGGAATTTTTCTATATTAAGTGATGAGTGTTTAATATAATCAGCCGTAGCAGTTGGATGATTTGAACATCAATTGTCGAAACACCGGAATGCGTATTTCTACGTATATCATTCACCACAAGGATAGAAGTTATTAAAGAATCATGGAAATTAGATTTCTCTCTAAGGTATGCAGCTGAGATTGTTTTCCCTCCAATTTCCTTTAACTCTACTGTCCCATATTTTGAAACATGAGAAATTGTTTTGAGGAAAAAATAACAACTACGTCATCATATCCAGTCTAAAAAGCTGTATAACGTTTTGTCTTCCAACTCTTTATTCTTATGAACGACCCCAGAACTCACTAAAATTATCCAAGGGTTGGAAGGAAAGCAATTTAAACAGTGACATAATATAAACTTAATCTTCCAGGTATTAACATGTATATATTTTGTTGAAATGTTACATCACAGCACAAGACAAACATTTACACACACCAAAATTATGAGTCTACCGGTAGGTTACATTTATTTCTTGGGATAAAAAGGTTGAGGTAGAAGAAAATTTAGAAAAAAAACACTTTATCTAGAAAGGATGTTTTTATGTTCCACAGAGTGTTGTTGTTTAGCTAACATGGAATACCTTTCAAATTGTAACACTTTTGTTTTATAATAAGAATACGCCTCATAATCTGTAATCTTCAAAACAGAAAATATCAACTGAACGCTTGCTCGTTCATCAAGAAAACATGGAAAAGAGGAATGAATTAATTAGAGTCACAGATTCCTAATGAAATAGGCGTCACAAAAGAAAGTAAGAAAAGCAATCTTTTCTGAATTATCCACCAAAGTTAATTTCTTCATGTTTCTGTTAAATGAGTGAACTGAAATATGATTAGATTGTTTGATTTTTTTGAACATACACAAACAAAACTTTTGGCTAAAGAGAGATATGTGTATAAGCTAATATCTGTTATATCACAAAAGCATAATAAAATCACGGATTCGAACTGTATCGACTATGAATGATCTTGATGACCTTGATAAATGGAATGCACATCGGTTATGCAGAAGAGCTTACATGCTATAAGCAATTGGAGAATGGACAATTCAAAGGACAAGAAGACAAGCAAACAGACGATATTGCATATGATAGCAGATATATATGTACATATACATTCATTCGGGAAAATGTGACGCTTTTACAAAATTTCATATATATATATACATTGGAACATTGTACCAGTCATCATTTAAAATAAAACAAAAAATCATACAAAGGCGCATATAATAGGCAAGGGAAATAATCTACACGAAAATAAATTAATGCAATTATATTGAAAGTAGAAAAAATAAAAATAAGAAAACAAGAAAGAAATTAAATAATGAAGAGTATTCAGATAGGATTTTGAGTGACAATTATTCTTTACTGACTTATTATTATCTCTTTGTAGTTGAATAGATGTTCTTGTATGTCGCCATCCTTGCGTTTGTTGGTGGTGGTGTTGTTGTTGTTGCTGCTGCTGCTGTGATTTTTGTGATTTATTTAGAGAGACATCATTTGCGTTTAGATTATTGTATTCATGGAATATTGGCGCCTTTAGAACACTTTTTAAAAATGTAGAAAATTTTGGATTGTATTTCATATGCGGATATTCATCATTGATCATTATATTTACAATTTCTAGAATGTTGATGCAAAACTAGATGACGGAAAAGCAAATGAGAGAAATACTTTGCATTTTAGACTTTCAAAACATTAAATAATAAGTGTTTTAAAAAACACCTATGGAGTCTAGATAACTTGAAATATTTGAAAATTTTTCACAAGATGAAGAAGTCAGCTCAAATTGGAAAATATATCATAATCACTCAAATAGCTTGAAGTGACCAAGGACGACAACTTTCTAAACTGTTAACCAAGCTGTGAAAAGCTCTGTTCTCTATACCATTATCATAAAAACCCAAACTGAGCATATTAATGACATATCACAGTTTGTGCAATGGCTGCAATACTACCCAAATTGAAGCAGGTGATTGTTTCAAGTGGTCGTCCTCAAAGACTTTGACTTGAAGTATGATCCACAGGGAAAGTAAGAAAGCGTCAGGAGCTACGTTCTCATGGTTACCTGTGACCAAGTCAGGTTCATACGTTATTAGATCCTTTTGGATTCTGGAGCCTATGAATATCATGGACTTGGAATCAGGGTCTTTCAGCTCCTCTCAGTTTACTAGTACATCCACTAGCCTGTCTATAATCTCAAGATGTCACCTTGTGATGAATACCCTGGCTGCGTGAAGGCAGTGAATAGCATTCACCTGCTAGAGGCTACGAACGCGTGATCACATGAATGTACTTCGGGAGGAAGACCCAATTCCACCCAACTTCGGCCTTACCGGGTTGTTTATGGGGAATTGTAATGGGGAATACTTTCGCAGATAGATACGTGTCACTGAAGACAAGTCAAGCGTATGTAGTCATTTATTTGTTTTTGGCATATTCCTTAATAAACCAGTCAAAATGCGTTTCTGGTAGATAATTGTAAATCAAAATAGGCATAACCTGATCGATTTTATAACTTTAAAGGGTTAAAAGGACTAGTTAGATACTTTAAGCCCATCATTAGTGAATTATTGAACATGTAGCAAAGAAATCCTAAATTCTTAACTACAAAGGGACCGATTCAACTGAGTCATCAACACAACTAGCCTAATGCTTGCCAGGGAGAAGTAGTTTGTTTATTACTACTGTAAGGCGGTCATTAAAAACAATAATGAACTTTATACAAAAGAGACTACGAAGCTTCTTGATACTTGTGCTTTATTCAAACATCTCATTAGACAATTACTCAAAAACCACACAAGTAGTTATTCATTATTAATTGGTTAAAATATTGGTAAATAAGAAAGGCGTGTACACTGATTTTCAATGGTACTCACAGACATTAGGATAATTCTTGATTGAAATTTACAAATAATGCCCACCAACACACCAATAAATTTAGTATTCTTTTTGTAAAAAGCTACAGTTTAAATTTATAAATCTGCACACTACTGAGTTACTGGGATTAGTACTTGTAAAGCACCCATATCGAATTTATGATAGACTTCAGATGTTTGAGTATTACTTGATGTAAGAAATATTTGACTTATACTAGTCATCTGCCAGTTGATAAGGGACGTGTGATTATGATTAGAGTTTCCCGTAGTTATGTAATGCGTTTATTAAGTCCAGTTACTGATGCATAAGCCAGTTAATCTACTTACTTAGTAATAATTGCTGTAAGGTTAAAGACATTTGAAAGCTTCTTCGTAAAATGGGAGATAATTCGTTGTTAGCACCATTTCAATCCAAAAACATTTTATAACTACTGTACCATGGAATAACTTTTTGCATGTTACAGGTTTGACCACAAACTGACGTCAGTCAGCAAACAACTGGAAAAGCAGATAGTACTCGACGGCTGTTTCGTCCAAGTTTGAAGTTCTTCTGTAGTATGCTGTGACCTTGGGATCAGCCCAGAGGCCTCATACCTGGGAGGCAAGCTCCTAGACCATTCAGCAGCTGGGACTTCATCTGGTGGCCAATAGATCTCAGCTTCTGCGAAATGAAGACATAGAGCGTGACAGCCAGCTAATGTCATCGGTGACTTCTAACGAAGAGTCCCAGTATGGGAAAATTTAGCCATCTAGTACTTTCTGGTTTACGAGTAGTTCTCTAAGTGACATCAGCTCGCGATACAAACTGGGACCAATCAAGTTTCTGTAAAGCGACAGTTGAAAATTTTCTTCTGTATGATGAAGTTTCTAAAGTCGTTTCCTTACTCAAAGAATTACTTTGAGTGCGCTTCTTGTAACAAATGATAAGGGGTATTTTTATCAGCAGACAGCTTAACTGTAAAAATATAATTCTCAATGACAGATTGACTTTTCCAAAGAATGTCTTGTAAGAGTTATAAGCATATTTTAAATTTTCACAAATAAAAATAAAACATCATATGAAAATTGCAAGTAGTACATACCGATGTATAATTTCTTTTATCGTTATAGTGATCTGAATGAATCACTAATGAGTATTCCAATCGATTTATGAATTCTGAGGATCTCTCATCACCAGATCTATATTTTAGCAAAAAGTTCCTACCATTTACAGTTTGATATGCAGACAATATTAGACGACAAGTTGTCTGTCCTGTAAAATATGTAATGAAGTTGGTTAGCAGCAATTCTAGTTGAACTATACTCCCGTAAAATTCAAACTCTGATAAAGACTTTTCGTCAGCCATTAAATCGATAATTGTAGAATACATTTCGACGTCGAAGTCTATCTGCAATTTATGACCTATTTGTATAAAAAAGAGAGTAAACACAAAAAAGGAGACTGATGCTTCAGGAAACAGAAAAAATTATGCTTCATTTAATGTTTATTTAAATTACCATCGTAGTATACCAACATTACTTTATTCTTTGTTTGAGGCTTACTGAAACAGACCAACTGTCACTAGACACATTTCCCATCACTTTATTATACATTCATTATCAAATGGTCAAATTAGCTAATTATATAATTGGTTGAAATAATCTTATACTTCAATTAGTATGTTGATCATTTAAAGACCAATGGGATATACTATTTTTCAAAGGACAGAACCCAATATCAAATCCTTCTAGTTTATTTTAGGAGAAAATTTAATTATTTATTCAGCTATGCAGCGAGGAGGTGATTGGTGAAGAACTGAGTAATCTCCGAAGAACCCCGATGGAAAACGGTTTTCCGCCTAGGTTCATAGACAAGAACCTCAAATAAAAGAAGACTTCCGAACGAGTCCAATCCGTCCGAAGAAGATACTTCTGTTCCATCTAAAATTCTAAGGTGACATTGGAGCAGAAATCTTCGTAAACGCCTATCCAAATCTCCGAGGAAGACAAACTTCGCCGCGAGCCTACGACTGACATTTTCCTGTAAGAAACTGTTCATCCAGAACGCTGAAGACAAGCTGTCGCATTGGGCCACTTCAACGTGCATATACCAGTTTACTTGCTCTTACGGAGCTGAGTACATCGGCCGTGCTATGCGCCAACTTGAAAAACGCGCTCATGAACACTATCCAGCCTGGCTAGTAAAAGGAGAACGAAAACATGCATATAGTTCATTGACAGAACATCTGGTAAATTCAGGACATTCAGCACCATTCGAAAAATCCTTCAAAATCTTATACAAGATTCGATCAAACCTATCAAAGAGAGTGGAATTAAGACATCTGGGCTTAGCCGAAGCATCAGCCATCCAAAAGTTCAAACCTACGCTATGTGTCAGCAAGATATACGTCAGAGCCTTGTCCCTACCATGGCCATCATAAACAGGTAATTCTTCTAATAGTGATTATCCCACTGACTTTCTTATCCAAACTTCCTGTTTATTCATGTTATTTTAAGGTTTTCTTAATCCCTGCTTATGCTACCATATTTTCATATCCGAACTTCCTCTCTATGTTGTCGTTTTATTATTTCTACATATTTATTCTCTGATTGCATAAGCAATAATTCATCACATTACTTATGATCTCACTAGATTTTTTATCCAAACATCCTGTCTATGGTTGTTGTTTCGACATTTATAACCCCCATTTGCACAATATGTAAGTCTTCTCAGTAATTACGATGTTACCTTGCCCGAGCTTTATTCGTCCCCCTGTTTATTATGGCATTTTAATTTCCTAATTGTAATTCTTTTAACCTGACCCTTGACCAGAAATTATTCTAGAACTCCCCCACCCACTAGTTATAAATACACGAATGTACAGCCTAGTTGATGATTTCATCGAAAAAATTTTCTTCCCTGCAACTCTCTTTTTATTCTCTATGATCAAATGTGTATATTCCGTGATTTGAAAAATTTGTTTGTCTGTGATGTTAGCAACCATGTGAAAGATACATTTTGAGAAATCTCGTAAAGGCAGATATACAATTAAAAATATTACCAAAGAGAATAATATTCAGCAAATATTTATTTCCAAGTATTCAAACTACCAAAGAAAGGAGATTTAAGTCAATGCAAACACTGGCGCGGAATTATGCTCCTGTCCGTTCCAAGCAAAATACTAAGCCGCATCATCCTGGGAAGAATCAAACACGCCAACCTGGATGAAAAATTCGACCGGAGCAGGCCGGATTCATGAGAAACAAATCATGTGTTGGTCAAATCCCTACTCTACGGATCATCACTGAACAAGGCTTAGAATGGCAGTCACCTCTCTATCTCAACTTCATCGACTTTGAAAAGGCCTTCAGCGGACAGCGTCAATCGAGAGGTGATTTGGCAACTACTTTGCTACTACGGGGTGCCATCGACAATTATACATCTCATCCAACAGTTGTACGACAATGCTGCATGCCAAGTGATCCACAACGGGAAACTTACGGAAGCATTCGAAGTGAGGACGGGAGTGAGACAAGGCTGTTTACTATTGCCAATGATCTTCCTGATTGCAGTAGATTGGATAATGCGATAAACAACGGGCAATGAGGAAACAGGCATAAAATGGACTCACACAAAACACTTGGAGGATCTGGACTTCCCCGATGATATATGTCTGATTTCCCAAAAACTGGAAGACAGGCAAGTGAAAATCAACAAGTTGGCAGAAGAAGCATCAAGAGAAGTTAGGCCTTCAGGTGAACATAGATAAAACAGAGGTGATGTATATTCCTGGCCAACAGCAACAACAACAACAGACAACAGTCAGCCAGCATAAATGGGAGGAACCTGAAAGAAACAACCTCCTTTACCTACCTACCTATCTAGGAAGCATCGTTTCAAATACAGGCGGAACTGACGAGGATATCAAAGCCAGAATCGGGAAAGCAAGACAAGCTTTCATAACTCTTAGGTCTTTATGGAGGTCAACAGCACTCAGCATCAAAAATAAGATCCGGATTTTCAATTCCAATGTGAAGTCAGTGCTACTTACTGTACGGATCAGAGACTTGGCCAGCTCGTCATGAAGAGCATCTCAAACAAACTACAGACCTTCATGAACAGACCCTCTGCACCCCCTTTATCCACACCTATCCCCTTGTATCTCATCAGGTAGGACGAGAAATCAATATAAAAAGATATATGCTCGTACTACTAAGTATAGAAATTCTACAATACCCTATTTAGCGCGTACTTTATGTGACGAAGACTCTGTTAGACGTGAAACTTACAAGTTACTATGTAATTAGCACAGTAAATCAACCCTTTTATCGCTCATCTTTCTGTATTTTATGGTGTCACACTTTCTATCGTTTAAACCGTTACTCTGCTATTTTATTTTTAGTTGGTATTACTGTTATTACTACAATTTTGTACTTTATACATATTTTTCTCCGTATAGCACACAGTATTTTGCTACGTAGCTGCTATAACAATCGTTTTATTACTATTATGTAATGTGTATTTTTAATTTTTTTTGTCGTTTTCGAGTAAATTAGATGCAATATTGTACTGAAATGCTGAAAATTCCTTGCCGTATCATGAGTACTGTTTTTGGAATAAAGCTATTATTATTATTGTCTTCGCTCAATACTACTCAAGATCAGATGGCCAGAAAAGATCAGCAACAAAGATCTCTGGCAATGACCAGGAACCGATTGTGAAACAAATAGGCAATAAGAAATGGAGATGGATTGTCCATACTCTGAGGAAACCATCAAGTGACATCACTAGACAAACCATTGCTCGAGTGGAACCCGAAAGGGAAGCGGCGAATCGATCGTCAGTGACAGAGTGGGGTGACTTAGAGGAAGTCATGTGAAGAGGAGATGAAAGCATGTGGGCAGACTTGGAGCAGAGTGGAAACGTTGGCAGAAAACAGAAGGCAATGGAGATGCGCAGCTGAGGCCCTATGTTCCTCTAGGAATTAAAGGATAAAATAATAATAATAATTTGTTTTCAAGAGTATATAATTTACTTGCACATTGCGTGAAAGCAATTCACTTCATTTGGAAAAAACCTTTCTAGTTATTGTACATGAATCACATACAAATATTTGCACACAGAATAAATGTTAATTGACGAGTTTACTATGAAATCAATTAGCTGTATGCTTAACAAATATGTTGAAGGAAATGGGGATGGATTGGACAATGTCGGAGAGACCTCTGAGTGACATCACACGCAAAGAAGGCTCTTGAGTAGAGCCCAGATGGGAAACAATGACTAGGACGTCTAAATTTGATAAAAAGAAGATCATGTGAGTTGCTCATGAAAGCATGTGGGCAGTTATGAAGCCATCTAAATATGACTGAAGACAGTATGGCATAATGGAGACGTGCTATTGAAATCCTGTTTTCTGGACAGAACCCAGAGAAATAATAATATGTAATAGCTGTCTCTTCCTAGAACACGCTAGATTCAGGAAAGGTAAATCATCTGCTGAATAAACTGCAACCACAGGCATTGTCATCACAGAACAAAGCCTCTACATCAACTTTATTGACTTCAAAAAAGCCTTTGACAGAAAGCATTGACCAAGAAGCGATTTGGAAACTACTCCAACACTATGACGTACAGTGCTCAAGTCTTTATCAACTGCATTCAACAGTTGGCTATATGACAATAACACGTGTCAGTTGATCCCAAACAGAAAATTCAGCGAGTAAGACAATCCTGTCTGCCTATTATCACTGACGATACTCCTAATTTTGGTGAACTGAATTATGCGTCAGACTGTGTGTGGGAAGCCAGGAGACAGGAATATGCTAGATAGACCACCGAGGGAAACAATCTAGAAGATCTGGATTTCGCGTTTGGATGATTTATGTCTAATGTCAAGCAAACTCGAAGACTTGCAAGTGAAAACGAGCAAACTAGAAGAAGTGGCAAACAGTGAAGATAGGACTCCAAGTGAACAACGAAAAATACATAGGTGATGAAGATGTTCAGATGTATTGCACGAATTCTTTGTTTAACAGGATTATATTATTACAGTGATTTTTTTATTTATCGTAAGAATTGAGTGCATTTGAAGAGTTCTTGTAGAAGTAATTAATTGGCTTAATTTATTGACTTAACGGATTACTTAAATCTAACTATGTGACATATTCTAACTGTGAATATATAAGCCCTCAACGTTTGATAACAGTCAGTGATCTGATAAAATTGTCTGTGTGTTTATTCACTTCACTAACAATCTGACTGTATGTATAATTTAGAAAATAAAGAAATAAACAGATCCATCGATAAATAACTCACTTAAGTCTTACTCGCTTAAGTTTCGTGAATGCAAATGAAAAGCATACACAAGGCACACACTTGATTCTGCTTCACTTACTTCAGTTAGATATATTTAGATATGTTGTGATGTAAGCCTAGCCTACCTTCAGAATCTAATCAATTAGCTATTCATGAGTAAAAACTTTGATAAACGGAAATCCAATGAATCAGAGTGATGGCGGGAAAACAATTGTTGGAAAAAGAAAACACTTTCTGGAATATGCTCTTCCATTGATTGTATGTCATGCTTTAGACAGATGAATAACAATAATAATAATAACAATAATGATATATCGCTTTTGTCTTTCAACTGTTTCAATGAATCAATCAAAGTTCTATTTTATGATTGATATATATTTATATATATGTTGATAACATAGAATTAGCCTACTCAAAATATATAGTTCGGTATCTAAAATTATCGTTGATACGGTTGAGTGAATCGGGAGAAGGTTACAATATACGAAAACAACTAGACAAATAACGACTGTGTCTCTGTGACTTCAGTCAGCAAAGCGAATAAAATCTCTCACACAATTATTTTCCATGATAAATTTAAACAAAGCAATTAGAAAAAAACTTTCGTAGGATGAGATGAATTCAGTTTATTCCACAGAGTTTTCAGAAGCTGCCTAAATTATGAAATACAAAAGTAATCAACTTGTTTTACTTAGTAAAGGAGAATAAATTAGGGAAAACAGAGACAGGCATAAATCATACATAGAAAGTTGAAGTAATCAATTATAACTGAAAAAGAGACGTTATAAAGAGAAGGATGGTCTAAGATTCAGGGGTAATTCACATATAGACCGAGACGGTTATGTGATCACTAGGCGGATTATTCAGACAGATTAAATGAAGTCACCAGTCACAAAAATGCTATTAAAAATGGCATGAAAACAGATTAATGCCAGTAACAAATTGAGCCATATCATGAATTGACAGCAGTCATTGGATCGCCTTCCAGTGGCGTAATGGTCTAAGAGATCACTGTGTAACTGACAGGTCCTGGTTTCATATACCACAGATGAGTGCACAATGTGAAGAGTCCTAAACTAGAAGAAAGCAGCTTTCCAGCGCTCCCAGGTTTTTAATGGTTCTCTAACCGATATCAGTTGATGATGAAATCCTGAAACCAATCAAATTCCTCCAAACCGACACTTGAATAAAGTGGATTGTCAATAAATTAAAGCAAAAGAATACGAGCTTACTGAGGTAATAATAAGCAAGTAATTATCACCTTTAGGAAGCATAATTTTTTTTTGATTTCAGCTTGACCCCCACACCGTACTTTTTGTACAAGTATGGAGTTTTCAGCGCGGATATCGGTAGCCCAAATTTCGCAGGCCGACCATAGATATCAAGTGTGCGTCGGCGAGGGCTCGAACCCCGGACCATGTGCATGGTCAGCGAGAGTCCTAACCACTGTGCCACCGACGCTTAACTCTTCCAAAGGCAGAACATTCAGCATTTTGAAGTATTGGTGAAGTGCACACTAACTCAAAACATTCCGATGAATTGATCAGGTGCTCATATTAGCTACGTCCTGAATTACAGGGCTGTTAAACGAAGTTGATCATTCAACACGCTGGTTTTTGAGCAAGGGTTGAATTATTCTCATGGGCAAGCATATTTCCTCTCTTCATGCCATCACGCGTGCATATGAACCTACAAGACTCGTTCACTTTGTTTTTTGAATAATCCATCACGAGATTAGGCAACCAACTGTTTTTCTGTGTAAATTACCCCTAGGTTCCAGAAGATTCTTCTCCTTTCAGTGTCTCTATTTTAGTCCAAATTGATTATTCTCACTTCCTATACAATTCCTACCTCTCCTACGTTTTTGTCACTTATTTTTACATTTAAAAAATCAGATATTCATTTACACCTAGTCTAAATGATTTCATAGTCGTTGCCTTTGTATTATTTATTCTGGAAACTCTCTGTAGTAAAATGAATTCCTTGCATCCTAAGAAGGTTCATTTTATTTCTTTATTCAATTAAAAATTTTCACTGAGTTAAGCAGCTTGAGTTGTAAAATTCAACTGGGTTGTTGGTGAGCGCGCTAGCAGTTACAAATCAACCCAGTTTGGATAAAAAATTTATGGTAGATCATTGATTTAAAAAAAAATAATATTTGTACCACGCTTTGCTCCATAGTAATGATTAATATTGCTTGACTAATTTCCTCTTTTTGTAATTAGATTTGATTCTCTCTAATGGTTATTATATCACTCTCTGCTCCCTTTATATACATGCTAAAGTGTTTTAAATCTAAAAGGTCTTCCTTTGAATGATGCATATTATGTTCTGTGCATCAATCATTTAATAACTTTCCAAGTGTTGTTTGCAAAGATTTGCTGAGTTTCAAACGGAATCATGAACTGACCTCACTTAAAGAATCCTTGAAAACGAGGAATTATCAGAAAGCTTTCAGTATGGTTACAGAATCTTCATCAATAAGCACTCAAGAATCGAATCTACAGTCTTCCATTTATGTGATGATAATGTTGACGATTAAGCCATTAGGACGAAAAGTTATGACTAATGGATTCTAACTTCTGTCACTTCACGACTCCTAACGCCACAGTCAACCAACTTTAACGGTGGGCATACGTCGTCACACCCTACCTGGTGGACCCTACCCATCATGGCTTCTCTTCAGAACTCAAGAAAAGTTTCTCCTATAGTCAACGATTAGTGAGCGCTAGATTAATTTTCAGCTGTTGGCTTGCAAGGCTAGTGGAGAAAATTACTCGACAACTACATTGAATGGCAAAAAACATATAAACCGCAAAAATGTACAGGTTAGAATTCATGGGCAGTCGGACACCTCTTCAGTATCTGAATAGTTTAGAGGCTCTCCACATAACATGAAGGTCCTTTGTTCAATCCTTAGAAAGGTCATAGGTAAGTACATCTGAAGGGTTCCAGATTCGAATGAAACAACTGCCCAGAACTACTTAGATTTCAATGGTTCCGTTACGGATGGCAATTCATAGTCATGCTTGAAGCCGGTTTGATTACTGTTGAAAAATGGTATCAAGAAAAATTAATGAAGAATGACCAAAATCTAAATGTTGAAACAAAACCTACCTGTGACTGCATATTGGTTTGGTTGGTTGAACACATTACATACAACCTGATTATTTAAATGACACTGACAGTGGTGATTCAATTTTGGAAGATAAATACAAGCCAGTGATAAATTTGGTCTGTAAATATTAATAGTTTCTATGCGTGTTGGTAGTGTTACATTATTACCAGTGTGATTGGATAAATAATATGCATGCCATTTGTTAGTCTCTTTCGCATAACACATTTCATATCGACAACCGAAACGACAACTACAAAGCAAAGAACAATCTCTATTCAAATGTTTGTCCTCTGGATGCGCATTCAACACTGGAAGTTTGAGGAGATCCCCTGCATTGGTTTTTAGTCTGTCCATTACAATACATGACACTGAAAAAAAATGTGTAGTAAAGAAAACAGTGAAAATTTAGGCAATAACAAGGAATCTCAGTGTTACATATCACATCACTTTTTTCCTGTGCATTTTTGCATTAAAAAATTTGAATAACCGCTTAAATTACTTACTCACATTTCCCTAAATTTTACTCGTATCTTCCATAGGAAGAAGTGATTGAAAATATAGAAGTATGTAGGAACATACCCATCCAGACGTGAATATAGGAACAAAAGGTTCACCAAAGCGTCTCTTTTCGGCTAGTTCATTCACTAAACTGTACAATCCCATTTGTATGTGATTATATTGTGTAAGTGTGTGCGCATTGGAATTGGCATACAAAAATAAAAATTATCTAAGGTTACTGCTTACATCATCAAAATGTTTTAGGAAATGTGATGAATAATCAAACTGTAACTGGGCAGGTGAAGATTGGCAAGTATTGACAAGGGTTGCGAAATATGAAAGAAACCCAGAAAAATAGATTGCTGGTGAAAGAGCATGGGGGCACGTGTCAAAAAATAAGTTATGTAATTAGTAGAAAGAGTGAATAAAGGGTTGATTGGTCATATAAACACTCAGAAAAAGAAGAAAGCATTATTAACAAAATATTAGAACTTGGAATAATACCCAAGGTATAAGGAGGGTGTGGAGAAGTTTCTTCTGTGTGCATAAATCAGGGTTTTCTATCCATATCACTAATGCCTCGACAATGCAAGGTATACGGAAGCTTATTGTTTCGGAAGGCTTCTTTTTACTTTGTAGATGACATTGAATGAATTATCCTTACATGCTGAGTGATCGGTGTTGAACATATGTTCAGTTATAGTACTCCTTATTGATCCACTGTTACCTTCTCGTGGCTGAGCGGTAAATGTTCTTTGACTCTTGGGGATAAAACACGCGTCCAACGACTTACATATTTCGCTTAACATGGCAGATACACATAGAAGTGGTCAAATGAGATAGTTTATCTTTGAAGTTGTTGAAGAACAAAGGGAAGCTTGAGAATACCAATCGTAATGCAGAAATAGAGAATATTCTTTTCAGGGTGTTAGATATTTTTCCGTTTAGGATGTTGGCCAGCAAGTAGTCTTTGAACGCCACATTTATGTATGGTATCTTCTTTAGCAAAGAGATGGGTTGTTTTTTGTTGGTTTTTGGCTTTATGTGTTTATCCGTAAGGCGAAGTGGATAACCATTTTCAAGTATTGTCTTTCTCAAAAGAGTTATCTCTTCTCCTACTGATTCGCAGCTGCAGATTCTACGGATTCTAGTCGTAAGAGACATTATTAGTTTCTGCTTGCGACTGACGAGTACCCAACCGTAAAAGTTTGTCAGCTAGCCGTTTCACATAGGCTTCCGATATACTGATCTCTTCAGTCTTCTTTGTTAGTCGGACTTCCAGAAATGAAATTGTCTCTTCAATATCTGCTTCAATTGGGAATTTAATTTCTCTGTGGCAGCTGCTAAATACTTGAAGGACACTGTTCTGGTTAAATTTGTTGTCGCGAATAATAAAAGCATGTAGGGAAATTTGGCTGTATTCATATTACACACTCAAAGAGAAAAACAGTTAATTAAGCTACAGAAGCAAGGCCCGGGAGGCTTTACCAAACTTTTGAGTCTCTAGTCTCATGGGAAATATGTTTATAGATTTGTCATTGTGATAACTGACTGCAAATGAATATAGACCGATATTTTTTGCATTGAAATGAAACATCTACCTTACCAGGCAGTTTTTAACAAATTGTCAGTGACCAGAGTCAAAGTGATACGTGAACATCACATAAGGTCGTGGGTTCGAACCCCAGTGGGTGAGCACTGTTGATGATTCCCAAACTAGGCTGAAACAGCTATCCAGTACTCCCTAGTTTTCAGTCTTTCTTTATGTAACATCAATTCGTGGTTAAACTCATAAAAACAGATCTAATCCCTACAAACCAACTCTTAAAATAAATATATAAGACTCAAAATAGCATTATATATTGTAATATCTACTTTATTTTCAGTTAGATTCGATCTTTAAGGATTTCAAACTCTTTTGGTATCACTGGTCATCATTTAATAGGAAATGATAGGAATAATCAAATGAGAAAAAATTTCCATGACTGGATACAAATTCAAATCAAATCCATATCAAATTTGTTTTTAATCATTTTTATACAGTAAGCTCTTAACAGATGAAAACTCTAACTTAACATGATGCACATCGAATTACATACATCACTTCAAATTGAAGTATGCGCTGAAAAAAAATATTTTTCCAGAAAGGCAATGAACAGTGCGTTACTAAGATCAACTAATTCAAAGAACGGAAATACATTGATATCATTCAAATGCGTTACAAATCTTCTTCCCATCTGGATTACATCATGCTAACTAACATGTCAATTTGGTTCTTATTTTGTTTACATTTTTATCCAGACAACTTATGCGTTTATGAATTGCTGCTAATGTTTATGAAAACTTCTTCACAATTTGTTACACTCTCAGTTATGAAGGAGCAAAACCTTCCACATGTATAGTAAAAAGCTATGGGATATTAAAAAAAATGGATAACAGGAGGTTTTAAGTACTTTTTATAATTATATACAGAAATGAAACATTTATTATATTTAAAATGTTTTATTGGCAGATATAAAGTGCGTATAGCTTTTTAAATAGAGGCTTATATTATATTTTACTCTAATGTATACATTAATCAACGTAATTTATAACAAATTCACAGTGAAGTAAATAAAGACAAATTGAACATATGGACGTGGATTTCTGTCTAACATAATTTGTCTTCACAATTTAACGCTATAGTAAAATAACTACATTGCTTTTTCGCAGTACACTGTTAAAATAAAGAGACAAAACATCATAAATACACGCGTGATTTATTTATTCTTAGCGCCTCATATATGTTATCATTCAGTCAGTTATCATCTGCAATATTCAAATAAAAACCAAGCTGAATTCATTGCTGAATCAAGTGAAGTTCTTCTGAATAACAGATTCTCCTTCTTGTACTTTATCAATGTGTTCAAAAAACTTCAATCCAATTTTAAGGATAACTTTTTAAATAATAACCTCTGACTTACATGGTTCTTCTTCTGTCAAAAGATTTTTTAGTTCTTGAACCAATCCCACATTACGATCTGAAAAGTGTTATATAAAGATCGATTAAAATTTGCTTTCAATTTTTATTGTAGATTTTAACCAGTTAGAGAATCACTGATAATGAAAGAGTGCTGAGTAGCTGTTTTTTCCTTATTTAGGACTTCACAGCATCACGTAAGCACTACTGCTCTAGGGCTCGAACCCAGGACCTTCCGGTTACTTGACATGACTATTCATCATTAGGCCACTAAGACGAAAACCGATGGCGTACCATCTCTAAAATTTGTCAGTTCGCGTTTTATAATACATTTCTCAGCCAAAGTCATCAGTGAGTATTTCTCCTTCCAAGTGACTGACTACAGGGTGAAATTGCCCCGAGGTGTGGCACAAATTAGCGGTCACTGGCGTCCAAAAGGTCTCATATTAGGACAAATACGCTTTGGGTAAAGTAGCAAGCGGAGAGCCCCTCAGTTGTGAAAATTAAAACCAATGGGATACTGGCTTTCATTCTAGTGATTAACTACCAATGATTTCACATAGTAACCTGAAGACTCTAAGCCCTTTGGCTGGTAGGTTCATGTGTGCGTGCATCTGAGGAGTCCCAGACCAGGACGAGACAGCTGTGTGATACTCCTTGATATACAGCTCAAATTACTCCAAGAGACTGTCAAAATCTATGATGTGAGTAATGATAAAATCACTTTGATTTGCTTTAAAACGTTATTATCTAATGAACTAACGGCTTTAAACACTTTTTGATCAGATTTTCTCCACGAGTGTCTGAGTCTAGCAACTACACAATTTTATCATTTATACCACAGTGCTTGTACACCATTTCAAATCCTCATTGCATGTTTCACCGCCATTCAGAAGCAGATGTTTCTTTGTTTGTCGTCAGTTGTCATTGCTATAATTTTTATGTTACATGAGGAATACTTGTAGAGGGAAATAAACAATCACGAAACAATCAAGTGAATGATTTAAAATGAGAAAATAAATAATGAATGAAAACTACTTAATTTTTAGTGATGATTCAAAGTGTTACATATCACATTAATCCAGAAGTCCTAAATGATTTTCACTAAAGGAAAAAAACTAAGAGGAGGAAAACAAATCCTTGGGTAACACTCATTCCGGGAATGAAAATAAACTTATAAATCGCTTATTATAGGTCTTTAATGCATGTGAAGCAACATTATTATACGTTGCTGTATCATGCATAGGACCTAACTAACCAATGTGTATTAAGCATAAGACTGTAGCCCATATAAGATTCTGTAATTTTTCCGAATGAAAATCTGAGTTTACATCCCACAAAGACTTATCAGCCATTTGAAGTGTCTAAGTAATGCAAACACTTACCTGTACATGGAGGTCTTGTAAGAATTTGTGAGAATTCACTGCAACCTGATAATATATTATCTGAAAATCTGCCTTTCTTTTCACCTAATTCACACTTGCATCCACCAGCCCAGGATCCAGTCCATAATCTCCTGTAGGAATTTATACATGTCATTGGATTCAAAGAACAATGTCCATGATGATTTTGACACTCGGATACCAAAAAATCATAACTGGTTCTGTAATATATAAGGTATAAATTTATTCTTTGACATATTATTAATAAGAATAAACACTCTTTTGAATAAGTATTTAATAAAGTGGATACATAATAAGTTAAAAATATGTAGGAGAACGAATTCCATTGACACAATGGTGCTAAAGCAAATATATTTGAGGTATATCTGCCAATCTCTTCGTGTGTTTTTTCACGCTTTGCATCTTGAATGGAAACTTCGGCTTCAAGCACTGAAGTTCCACTAACAGTGATAGTATTTCCATGAGTTGAGGCTGCTGGCCTCATGTGAAATCTCCCCACTATTTTGTGCTATTGAAATTCACCAGATCAACCTAAATCTGTATGTTCAGAAGAAATTCGTACAGCTACTCTCCTTAGCATTACACAGACGTAAAACACTGGCAGTTTACCTCTCAACCTAAGCCTTTTACAAGTTTTTCATACAAGAATTCCCATTTTTAAACTTAAAAAAAGAAAGAAAAAACATTTAGCCAGAATAGCATGGGTGGATTTTATTTCGTTGGTTCTTATCGGTTTCATGTAACTTACAGTCTTTAATAAGTAAAAGTCAGTGTAAAGTTGAACATATTTTTGTCATCAGTGAGAATATTATAAGAGTGTTATGGTGAGGTTAAACATCAAGACGACAAAGTAACTGAAGTGTCAGTATATATATATATATATATATATATATATTGTTAAAGAGAAGTTTAGGGAAAATTAATAGACAAGTTTGTTGCTAGGGTGGTAACAAAAACTAGTAACAATCACATAGCTAGATAAGAGACAATCAAAATTTGGTGTGCAAGACGTCAGATAAGGTAATGATGTAATATGGTGAGTAGAGCTCATAAGGCCATGAAGAATAATCTCTTATGGAAGTCAAACAGAAGAAACGAGTCGAAGGAGGCGAGCATTAAAAAGACAATTTAATGAAGTTAGAAGACAAAGAATTGTTTAAGGAATAAGTCACCAGGGCATTAGAGTATAACGACAGATTCCTTTTGGACATATGGGTAAGGTTGAATCTACAAGTTATTACTCTTCTATCTTATCATATTGCCTACTTAGTCTTCAACTGTTTGTGACGCAGTCGGTGTGGACACACCTTTTCTAGTCTTATTTTTTCAAACTAAGTCATTGTGTAATCTACTTGTCTACCTTTTGCAAATATTTCTACCCCTGAATAATTGCATTTATTACCTTTTTCAATTATCAAACATTAAGTTAATATTAACGGGTTCTACAAATCACTCCAAATAATAAATGTATAAATGACAATAAATTTATTAGGATTGCAATCAAACATTTTCAACTAAAGATATGAATATAAAATGGAGGTAGGGAAAGGAGTGATCACTCTTTCACTCCCTTGATAACTGCATATTGATTTCGATTGCATTGATCGCACGACTACTCATATCAGTGAATTCAGCTCACTGAGGTGATTTCATTGATATAAACTACAATTCTTTTGCGTTACTCTGTTAACTTAGCTAAAAGTGTCTGTTTTCTGTCTTATCCTTTTCTACTTTGAAGTCCACTTAAATGACAATAATGTGGACTTAAAACTTGTGATGTTTGAACCTGTGAGGTGCTTTATTTTATAATTTATAACATTAATTTCATTCTTTGATTACCATCTTAACTTTATGCAATCTGCAGCTGATAAGAGACTGTGAAATAAGACGGCGTCCCTGCATACTAAAATTCTAATCTTTCTTGCTTTGAATAAAGCAAGAACAAGGTGCCGCCTACCCTGCAGCTACGTTGGTCCCCAATTATCTAACGGAAGCTTGTTTTATGTTAGCTCTAACTGTGCAAACAGATCTTCCTGTATCTGCTGTAACAGTTACGTTGGATACGCAGTTTTCTAAACATGTATCACAGAGTCTACTTTTCGAGTGAACAAACGCTTTCAAAAGTACCGTCGCCAGAAATCTCATCAAAACGGATCATGAAGCTGATATTACTAAATCCCTTAATAGTATCAATAGACAAAATATTTCAATTCTTCTCAAGTTTGCCGTAGTGATCTCTATCTAACGCCTGAAACCCAACATATGTTTTTAGAAATAAGGTCTTTCCTTGACCTGATAACTGGATATAGTTAATCTCTTTTCCATTTCGCTACGCAGTCGTTGGTCTTACCCTCTCCCCCTCCTACGTAGTATAACTCTGCCTATCTCTTGCGTCTGTGATTTGAGTTGAGCTCACCACTGTATTACTCAGCTGTTTAGTCACTCGTCATTTTATTCAGTACTTGTCGTTATTATATAGCCCTTTCATCATTGTATGTTTGCTTAAACTTTAACTTTTTGAGTATAAAATATGCAAGTGTAATTATCTGAGCACTGTTTATTAAGTTTGGAATCGCCCATCAATTGACGTCATGTAAAATTTCCAAATAAGTTAATAATAATAATAATTACTTTAAGCTGCGAGCAGCTGATGAGAAGCCAACGAAATAAATGATGGTACAATCTTATTATTATTAGAACTGTTTCCATCTAATGACAATATTTGTTTACTAGTGAAGAAATTAAAATTTTATAAAAACGAATTTCTCATGGCAAGTGTCTTATCATCTTTCATTGATAAAAATTCCATTTATGACATGCTTATTTAACTTATTCTTATCAGTCTCCTCGCAAGGCTGAAGGACATTATGTTGCTAGGCATTGCTGGTTTGCGTCAGGAAAAAATAACTCAGGAGGAATCCACAACCTCAGGCTGCTCAGTCAGTATTTGAAACAAATGTTGCCACCTTCCGAAGAATGGAGAACTATTGACCATCCACGTCACACAAATATATTTGAAAACTCCATTAAATCAACCATTTCGAAGCTTGAATTCAATTTTTTCACAGTAGCACGTGATGGAAAGTCGTAATAGCATAGGTAACAACTTTTTGCAGCCCAAAACTGCTTGCAAAATGTATAGAATTTCCAGCGTATTTACTACATACTATTTTCTCATCTATTCTGTGATGCAATGCTGTCCGATCCGAAACAAAGAACAATCCTTAGTGGTGTTTTCCCTTCGCCTTCGAGACGTTTGAATGCTAACTAGGAATGTGAGTGTGAACATTTTGGGACTCAGGGATATAACTAAATGATTGAAACAATGGTAGTTAGAGAATTCATAATCCATTATTCTGCATGGAAATTTAGGTAGACCAGTGAATCAAGCAGGCCACCCTCTGTGCATTCAACGTAGTTATAAAAAGAAGGCATTCAAATGTATTAATTATGACGTTAAAATTCATCGAATAAAGCAAAATATTTACTATCCATTCTAAAGTCTTTTACATGCAAAACATACCTGCAAACTGCATTATTCTGGCATTGTATCCAAGCTTGATAGCAGTCAATACGAAATTCCGACGACTGACGAATACAAGAAGGGACAAATATTTCCCGAATTTTTTGACAGTCTGAATCAGTTTTTTCACAGGTACATGATATAGCTGTATTTACAAAATTATCAGATTCACTATAAAAACTTTTGATTGCATTTATACACTGTGTAGGATTTCTGCAAGCATTGAACTCTTTATTCATTTCTATACATGCATATCGAAGATTAATGAAGTGTTGAACACAGATAGGATTATGAAGACATTCATCAAGTACTGAATAACAGTTTCTGCTATTGTCTATTGAAGAAAAAAAGTTATTTAAATGAGTGTTAAACCAAGTGTTACATTGAAACGCAATAAATGTGCAGTAATTAGAAATAACAACAACAGCAGCAACATCCAGCGCCAGTCACCATCAACGGGAGGGATTTGAAAGAGGTTACTTCATTCACTTATCTAGCATTGAACATTGCCTCAACTACAGGAAGTCGGAACGGACGAGGATGTCAAATCGAGCGAGAATCGGGAAGGCGAGAAACACATTCATCAACCTGCATCCAATCTGGAAATCTTCGTCACTCAGCATCAACAACAAAATTCGGTCGGATATTCAATACAATCATCAAGTCAGTCAGTTCTTCTATACGAGACGGATCAGAAACTTGGCAGGTGGGTCACAAAGAATATTTCCAACAGCCTGTTGCAGACCTTCATCAACCAACAACTCTCTTCGCTGGCTCTACACTGAAGATCAGATGGCCGGGCCGGAAAAAGTCACCAACAAGAAACTATAGCTGGTAAGAAACAAAACAAGAACTGGTCGCCGACCAACAAATATGCAGGAGAATGTGGAGATGGATCGGACACTGGCTGAGGAGGCCGCTGGGAGACATCGCACGCTAGGCTTTTGAGTGGAAGCCGAAAGGGAGGCGGCGAGTGGGACGTCCAAGGGTGACATGGAGGAGATCGTGTGAGGAGGAGTTGGGACAGTATGGAATAACATGAATGCAGGTGAAAATTTCAGCAGAAGAGAGAAGCGAGTAAGAACGTGGAGTTGAAGCCCTATGTTCCACTAAGAACCCAATGGAACAATAATAAATAATAATTGAAAATAAAACACTGATTTCTATATAGCGTATTATTAATTACTTACTGGTTAATTCTTAAAATATTACAATAATAATCTAGAAAAGAATTACATATTAGTCATTAACAGCTTTATGGATTATCTGTTTTGGACAGTCATAAGCAAGGAATACGAATAGCTCCTCGCCTTAAGTGACACACTACTTCTGATGAATGATGCATTTGTCTGTGTGGAACTGTTCACTTCCCTTATTTTGGAAGTTGTGTCAGCTCTCATGGGCTGGTTGCCAATGTAATCTCGGCACGAATACAAAGGGTTTGTGTGATATTTGACAAAATACGTCATCTTCAGAATAGATATGATATCCAGCTGTCTGTCGAAAGACGTGATTACTGCTCAGAAGCTCACTCTCTCCTTCTCTCTGGCTTTGAGCCTTAATCGTTGAAAGAGGAGGACACAAACAGGCGAAATGTCTTCGATTAAATACGTTTTTGTTATATCTTGGTGTTGTGGTATAATATGCTAAGTAATGTTGGCTAGGTTACCTATCACACATTCTGAGCCACCGTCTTTACCAACGAGGAATGCTATCCGACAATCAACTTGTCTTGAAAAAAGTAAGAGGTTTCCAAACCAAAACTTCACATCAAGCCGTAATGCCTTTGATTGTTTTTATATATACGTAACCTGATATGTGAATACCATATCCCTTTGTACATAAAATCTATGCATATACTCGGTTGAATTTTATTAATAATTTGTTATTTAACTTTCAAGTTATCTCATAGTGAGGATAATAAATTATGATTGAGTGCACATGAATATATATATATATATATATATATATATATATATATATAGCTTTTTGGGGAATTCCCTTAATAATTGTGAATACATAGAATTCTTGTTGTCCAAAATTAGGTTTCATGCTTTTTTTCTCTGCAGCAATATTTTTGTGTAACGGGGTGCGAATAAACCAGTTGTCAGAAATATTTGACAAATGTGAGTAAACAAAACATTCACCCGAAAATAACATAAACAAACATTGGCTTTAATGTGTATAGTTTCATGGAGGATTGTACTGTACCGATACTAATAGATGAAGAATTGTTTAATTATTTGTCGATGTAATCGCTCACTATAATTTTAATCCCGTAATTTCTGTCATTTTCATATAATCCTGATCTAGGCATAACGCTTGAATGCCTGAAATGACTTGAAAATACTTAGGTCTAACGTGATCCAGTGAGTCGGCTTTAAGTGGTGTCGCTATAATTAATGAATTTATTAAATACTAATTGTGGCAGTATTACAGTTTATACTATTGTTATGCTTATCTTCTTAGATTCCTGGTGGAACAGAGTGCTTTGACACCTACTGTCATTTAACTCCATTCTCTCCATTCCTCATTCGCTGGTTCTACGAATACTCATAAGCTCTGATCTCTTCCGCAAACGATCAACTCATTGTCACAGATGAACGCTCAACCTGTCATTTCTTATTAGCATTCTATTCCAAAAACTTACTAGTATGTGACATCACTAAGTGGTGTCATCGGTGTGTTTCTGAAACACCTCCACTTCCTTTCACCTACGTGCAAGGCTACAGTCTATTTGTTTGGTTCGTTGGCAGAGTACCTTGTTGATCATCTTTTCTAGCTAGCCATTCGATCTTTAGTATGGAGTGAAGGCGGCTGTTGCTGAAAGTCTGCAACTTATCAGGAATGTACTAGCGACGCACGAGTAGGTCTTGCCTTTCGAGTCTCAGCTCTGACAACTTTATCCGTGCCGGCTGCAGTCACAAAGATGCTGTCTAGAAAAGTAAGAGGAGTGCTTTTTGTCAACTTTATCCCGTTAGCAATGATTAGTGCTTTTTGTTGTTGACTGGGTATTTTCATCACCCCTGTCTTCCATGTGTTACTGCTATTTAATCTGACTCATTGATTTTCGCCTGCAGGTCTTCGTGTTTGTCCAGCAGCAAATAAAAATCATCCAAGTAGTGGAAATCTTCTACAGCCTCCTTGTCACTTCAACGTATTCTCTCTCACTCTATCGCTGTACACAGTCTCCTGCATGATTCATTCCACCACGATGAGCAAAAGCTTCACTTCAGCCTCGTTTTACTCTTATCTCTACATCAGAGGCCTAAATGAGTTTTCCACTGTCACTGTTTACAACGACAGTGAGAATAGGAAGTTATGAAATGTGTTAAAGAATAATGTAATTCAGTTCGCCTTTGATAGTAAATCTAGACTGAATCATTTGATCTACTTAAAAACTCCTTCTCCATAGTGGAATTCATCGACTGGAGACATAAGCCTTCTTATAACGGCATTAAAAATAAAAAAGGTCCAACAGGTTATATGGAGCTAAAGTTATCAGCAAAATCAATATGTATTACTTACTCCACATCTCATTAACAATCGTTGACGGGCTAATAATCAAACTTTGTACCTTCTTATGAAAGTTAATATTTGTCAACTCTGTCGAAGGGGTAACAGCTTTCAACTTTTCATTCGCTACATACGTTGAATTGATATCACTTTTTATAGGGTTAGTAAACTGAGGAACCGGTAAAACAGGTGGATTTGTTGGAATTCTTTCTTGATTTTGACCAGTAGACAAGTACTCTAAATCATTAAAATTTGTTGGATTCAAGTTCTCACCTGATGAAATTTCTTTCAAAAATAAAAAGGACGAAAAAGAAATGAAAACTAGTTGTTTGGTTGAAAAAACTCAAGCTTGTTTTCAATGAACATAGGTTGTAAGCGAAATTGTTAAGAACTGAGTAATTATAGTATATACTATGTAATTACTTCCCACGGACAAGAAATACACTATGCCTAAATAGATAGATGTAATGAATATCTTAACAACTGCCTTAGAACCTAAAACTATGTGTCCATATTACTGAAGTAATAATTATTTAGTAATAAAAAGGAATCAATGAGATCAGAAGTTGCGAGAATTTTTCTCATGGATTGTGTCCATGGGATTACTCTAGACAAGCGTTAATATGATATTATGTGTGCAACATGTAATCTTATGATAATATGTGTACAGTCGTCTCGTTGAATATCTTTACTAACAGTGATTGTGAATTCTATGCTAATAAATTTTACTGAATTTGAGATTTTCCCGTTGATTGATTGGACTGAAGTGCTCGGTCTCAGGTTGACATGTCGGCTTCTTGTGCAGATGCTTCGACGATGTCTGAGCATTTAATAAGAATTTAATTGGTGGATGGTGATTAGCAGTGGAATCCAGGAAATGCAGGTACACCCAGTTGACAAGTCCCAAATAGGACGAAATGCCTGTTGTCCTGGAATCCAGTGCTAGTAACCATCACCCAATTAAATATGCTAATAAATGTTTGTAATTACTATTTAAAATGGATTTTATTCTGGTTAAAATGTTCTTGTGAATGGATTTTAATGCCGAAAATGGAACGAAAATGTATAGAGAATGCTCAATGTACACTTAAGAATGTAAGTAATTGAAGTCTATCCACGTGTAAGACAAGGTTAGGCAAACTTCATTGCTAACTGTCATCATTGTGAGGTAGCTGGTTCCTCCGACTTTGTGATGATCTATGCCGATACCGGACAACGAATCCAGGATTTTGCGATCCAAGAGCTAGCAGGTCATTAGGTGGCCTAAGGAGTAGGATTCAGTAACTTGTGAATTCTAATTTATTTTTCGGGGAAAAAATAAATGGTTTATTCGTCAAGATATAAAGATAAGCGAGTCAGGTAAACTGGTTTAAGACAGCTGCATATAAGAATATATGCACGTAGTCAAAAATTTACCCCTCAGAGTTGGTACAACGAGGGTTTCACAGTAACTCAGAGTGGTAGTAGTGGCTTTACTTACCGGCTGGTCTGAGCAATTTACCGAGGCTTCTCTAGTTTGATCCATTCTGTAACTAGTGTCTTTTGTCACTTTGTTAGATTGACAATGGACAATAGGAAACAACTAATCTCTAGTTGGTTACACAATTTTATCATCAACTAACATCGTTTAGAGAGCCATCGGAAACATGATGGGACTAGACGTTTGTTTCCTCAGACTTGTTTGGGAATCTTCATCAATAATCACCCACCTGTGAGGCTCGAACCCAATATCCTCCGGTTACAAGGAGACGTCGTATACCAATAAGCCCCTGAGAGCCGATCCAGTGGCCAGTGAGGCGATACCGACTCCTGCTAGTTCACAACATAGTGCGACAACTAGCCAGTGTCATTGACAGGCAATGGTCCTCTCACCCGACGTGTAATCTACTAGTCATCACTTCTCACTATAACTCAGGTAACTGCCTACCTGAATAACTCCAGTCGCTAGCAAAAAATGAAACTGATGAGCCATTGGATCGGGTTCCAGTGGCCTAATAGTCTATAAGTTCCCTTTTAACCGGAACGTCCTAGGTTTGAACCCCAAAGGTAGATACATACTGGTAAACAGTCCCAAGCTTGTCCTACGAAACAACATTTCAATACTCCCAGGATTTCCAATGGTTCTCTAACTTTGTTGGTCGATGATGAAATTTTGCAACCAATCAAATCAAATCCTTATAAACCAAAACGTGAACGGTCTCTAGTTGCTTTATGCAGTTGATAAACGTAACTAGCTCGAAGGGACGGTTCAAGCGACAACAATTGAAAAATATGGGTAGTGTACGTGTTGCATCTTTCAGAGACAGTATTACAACTCGGTGCTACAGAAATGAAATAAGTTACAGTTTGCAGTTACTAAAATTAGTCTGAATCAGCTTTCTAAATGTTTTATTAGCACTTTGCTGGCTATAAAACGTTTAAACTGTATTCACACTTAATAACTTCTTGGTCCATGATCCCGTGCATTTATTTCCCAGTCTTATAATAATATGCGCCCTTACGAACATACCACACTGTGTTAAAATATGCCTCCCCACATGATTAATTTCATAATAAAGGACAAGAAAGCTTAGAGTATTTGTGCATTACACAATCCAGAACTTCTATTATGCAATTTATACATTTATTATTTTTTTGGAAAAATATTATCCTTAAATTCCTTCTCACAACTGATTCTTATGGTTAGATGCCATTGAATAAAATGAGCTTTTCCAAAATTTCTTCAAGAACAATGCATCTGTCACTTTATGTCAGTATTAAGTGGAGATATTTCAAGAACTTCTTTTCTAGTTCTAATGAGTCCCTCACTAAACTTATTACCACTTTGTACATGAGCTTGCAGTGTTCAATGTTCGATTCCAATTTCAAGTTAATCATAAACTAACAAGGTTATTCTTTCGAAGATGACAGTATTTGACAAATCATTTGCCGGATCACGTATGTCGTTGACCATTTAAATTACGAGTGCATTTGTGACTGGTAACAATGTATCCACAGATATTTTTCTTATCTCCTGGAGGACGGTAACTTTATTTGCGAATTCAAGAATGTCTCTGTAACGCATTTCTCTGAATGTTTTTAAATAGTTAACTTAGCAAGGGAATGTTGAAATGATTTGCATATGGGTGAAATTTATTATCGGAACTTGTCTAGAATTCTGCACTTCAAAGTTGTGACGTTCATTACCACAATATTTGGTTATCACCTAATTGATTTTATGCTCCTCTGGGCTTCTTACAAAGACTATTAGATAATTACGCTTGTTATTTTTATAATGATAAATATGATCGCGTAGACTGGGTTTAAAGGGTTCAAGTTCGGTGTTAATCTTTGAAATGAGGCGCCTGTATGGAGTACGTTTTCGTATTGACCGAGAAGTTTTAGACGTAGGAAAACATAACTTCATTCGCCATGTACCTAAAATGAAACCTGCATAAATGACGGCATGTCTTTTGAGGAATTCATGTAAACTGTCAGCTGCGGTTCCGTTTTCCATCCTCATAAAAGACTAGATTCACTTGTAATCTGATCTCCTTTCGTTAAGTGACATTCTACCACAATCTGTTTTAAGATCTTCTCAAGCTGGTTAACTGTGGAGAATCTGCTGGAAACATCCATCACTACAATAATAATATTACTTTTCTCATCAAGAAAAGACGACATGTTGCATTTGTCAACTTTCTACACCCAAATAACTTTACTAGTATAACGTTAAAACACGAATTCTTCATAGTCCTAGAAACTAAACTACCATTATTATGCTGGAGGCATTAATTTACCTTAAGTAGACGAAAATTTCGTTCCTTTTGAACAAATTCCTCTTTTCATACAATTTAAAAGAAACGCTTAACACTTGGATATTGAAAATATTTTCAAAACGATGGGCGCGCATATTAATAATTTATGACAGTACAACTGGTAGGACTTACCAACGCACTCATTATCAATTACTGTCTGTTTATAGTCTAAACACCGTCGATACCTGTCTTCATTTATTTCACTTTGGCAGCTACAGTCAGCATGAGTTTTGAACTGAAAAAATTTTTTCGACGCTTCCAAACACTGTAGCCTAAGGTATATATAAAAGCAGTAATAAAAGTTTATAACAAATAAGTTAACTTGTGTGGGATTTTTATACAAATCCTGCTTTGTTCGTTGATACAGTGGATTCAACACGTTATTTTAAAGTAAGTTAATACCGAAAAAGTCATTATTGAAGCAGAATATTTCCAACAGTTACGAGCGTATGAAATGGCGCTTAAAGATATAACTTTTCTTGGAAAGCATGCAAAGAAGAATAAATCTGGTGTGATATTTATAAGACATTGTTTTTCACCCTGAGTCCTGGAACAAGCATAACCCATAATTATTGAACTTTTATTTGAGTAAGTCTTTAAAAATGTATTTGGTGATTGCGCTAAAATCGCGAATTGGTAGAAGCTAGGATCCATGGACCTTTGAATCAGGTCCTAGGCTCTGAATGGTATACGAGCTTCACTTGCATATGGAAGTTCCTAGTTTTGAACCTCAGTGGATGCGTATTGCCGACGATCCCCAGTAGTCCCTGATTTTCAGTGGTTCTCTAATCGATATCAGTTCGAGGTAAAACTAGAGAAACAAATCAAATCCTTACAATTCAACTCTTCAAAATAAGTCTGATGCTCTCTGGTGATTTGCTACAGGAATGGGTTTACTGAAGTTTTAGTGACAAGCCGTGACCAATGAGGTTCATCCAGTTAGCAGTGAGGATAGAGTTCCCACTAATGACAACGTTTGGTGGTCGAGCCGAAACCACAAATCGGTAGACATTATAATTCATCTGCTGGTCAGTGAAGTGGATCCCACTGGCTGTAAGTTAACTTTTTGTCAGAAACAGTTAAAACCAATAAACGATTCTGCTACATATATAGATTAAAGTCCAAGACGAAAATAGTTTATGCGCTTAAAATGAATTGAATCAAATAAACACAGCTAATTTTAACAAAGTTTCAAGTCAGAATTAATAAAATACGACGAAACGCACTCCATCCTTCTAAAAGCGCAAAACTGATGATGATACGTTTTCCATGATGAAAGGGAAATACTTAAGAGTATGCATTTATTTTAAGTACACAGTGAAAAGTATTTTTCATCTTAACTCTCAACTAAAGTGTAATTCTCAGTAACAGTTTGTGGCCTGAAGATTCTGATATCTATCGATCCCTTGGTACAGTCATGACCGCCTACTGCTGAAAAGTTTCAAACAGTTATGGGGCATCTGTTTAGTGTTTCCTATTTTTCAATGGTCCTCTAATCGAAGTCAATTCCTGATAAAACGACTTAGTTTCTTCAGCACGAAATACGTATCAGTGTACGGAATTCTATGTATCATTATTATTATTGTATCCTTTAGTTCCTAGAGGAACATAGGGCTTCAGCTGCGCACCTCCATTGCTTTCTGTTTTCTGACAACTTTTTCACCCCGCTCCAGGTCTGTCCACATGCTTTCATCTCCTCCTCGCATGACCTCCTCCAAGTCACCCTTGGACGACCAACTGGCCGCCTCCCTTTCGGGTTCCACTCGAGCAATGGCTTGTCTAGTGATGTCACTTGATGGTTTCCTCAGAGTATGGCCAATCCATCTCCATTTCTTCCTGTCTGTTTGTTTCACAATCGGTTCCTGGTTGGTTATGTATCATTGAAGATTTTATAAGTTAAAAATTTCCGCACAGAATGTTGATGTGCTTATTAGTAGTAAAGAGAATGTCCATGTCATGAGACTTGAATATTAAGTCTAATTTCTCGTTAAGTTAAACCGGTCTCAAAGGTAAAAATAAAAATGACGGACACCTCAGATTTCTGTAATGTTGATATAACTCATATAAAAAGTATTCAATTTACACCCTGCTTACCTTAATTTATCACACGTTCTCATAGTGCATAACGCACGAAATTTATTTAATGCTCTTGTACATGCTGGCTGTTTAGTACATCTTTCAAGTAGATACAAACAACTTGGATTCTCTGGATTTTCGTCAATATAGTTTTTGTTTAAATTGGTTTCAGTGAACCCTGTTGAAGATAAGTTGATTAAAGTGTCTGGGAATGGTGTAGTCATTTCTTCTTTGAACAGACCTTCAGTTTTGTTTGACAGTGAAGTTAAATTTATCCATACTTTGTTGGAATTCAGCATTGTCTTCGATGTATTGACGGTGTGTTCTGTTCTCACTAATATTTGAATAAAAACAATACAGTGTGAAGGTAAATTTTCATCTTACAAAATATCTTTATTTTCTATAAAAGTTACAAAAGTTCATCAGTGAATTTATACACAAGGTTAATAGCTTATTTTACTGTTTATGATGCTGTTATTTTCTATTAGTTGAAGAGACTCAGATAGTTAGGGAGGTATTTCCATCACACTCCAAATTGGTTGGCTAAATGGGATGTGTTCATCATAAACAATCATGAAGGTAGGAAAATGGTAGTATATAACGGAATACAGAATTGTGAAGAATCATCAACTTTGGAAATTGAGTGGTACATTTCAAAGTTAAATAACTGATACATTCTATTCTTATAGTAAGTATACAAATTTTAATTTGATGTTTATAAGAAGGCGTTTACACGCTATTATTATGCAGCTTCCTTTGCAGCATTAGGAGTGTCAGTAAATACGCTTACGATGCACTCGTCAAATCATGCAGAATTAAAACTACCATATTAATTACCAACATTATATTTTGTGTCGCTTTATTGTCCGCAAACAGTTCGAAAAGTACGGCGGCACAGTGGTTAGGACTCTCGTCGATCATGCACATGGTCCGACCTTCGATCTCCTGCTGACGCACACCTGATATCTATGGTCGGCCTGCAAAATTTGAGCTACCAATATCCATGCTGAAAATTCCATACTTTTACCAAAAATACAGTGTGGAATCAAACTGTAATCAAAAAGATCAATGAGAGTAACACACGACCTTCTGGTTCTAGATGTCCGGAAATCAGAATCCAAAATTCAGAGATAAAAACCTAGTAAAATTTCCATAAACCCACGTTTTAAAGTAGAATAAATAAGGAATATAGGTCATAAGACGAACCCGTTTGAAAGAGATTGTGAAGACTACAAAAAGCTATTTTTTATTATTTTTCTTTCTGATTGCAGCTTGATTCCACACCATATTTTTCGTGCAAGTATGGAATTTTCAGCATGTGATATAGGAAACCCAAATTTCGGAGGCTGATTATTCAAATCAGGTGTGAGTCGGTTGGGGATCGAACCCCGGACCATATGCATGATCGGCGAAAGTCCTAACCGCTGTGTCATCGACACAAGGCAAGAAAACACTAAACTTTCATTAGAAAGCCAATAAACTCTATAATGAATCATCCAGCTAGTTCTCTGAACACAATATTCTCCGTATTTCAAAATGTTGGTTTCATTACAAATTCATCGTTTTTGTGTGGTGTTTTATCAAATAAGTTGGCAGCTTGCTTTCTCTTAAAAATAATTTGCTAATTTGGAATCAAGTTACCCTAGTGAATGTATTCTCAGACTGATTGTATGAGACATTTTGACATGTCATTCAAATAATGAGTAAACTAGAATCGAGATGCATTCAATGCAGTCTATTCAAATAATCTCTGGTCTGGTGGTTCATTGGTAGAATTTTCACCAACCACACATGTGATGCAAGGTAGATTTCCCCTCCCCTTTTCGAAACTTCATATAGTTTGCTTGTTGTCAGTGGGCCTGGAAAGAGGAGAAGGTTGAGCTCCAACTCCCCACTAGAACTTCAAAGCCCATAGCCCTATATTCCTCGTCGCAGTGCAATGAAATGAAAAAATGAATAGCCAAATAGGAATGGTCAACGTTTGACAGAGGAGGCATGAAATTCAGCGATACATGGATATGAAGTCCTGAAAAAGATATCAAGTTCATAATTTTATAACTTATTACTCGTCTTACCTACAGGGAATTGTACAAAAGATTTTAAAAATGTTCACATTTTGTGGTCTGTGAATTTAGGGAAACAGAGTAAGGTACTCAAAAGCTCTTTGATAAATTCGCACTCAAAACTGTTAATTTGCATTTAATCTGAATAAAGGTGAAATCGCTGAAGTCTCCTGAATTTCAATGCTTTCTTTGGGTGGAAAGCATAATTGTGTCCTGTTAAGCACCTGTATGGTTTACAGATATTCTGACTTTATGGAGATAAAAAAGTATCATAGCTATCGATTTCAGGACGAGTTTTGTAAAATGATAACTATCAGTTAAACACTGGTCTGTAAAGAATAAAGACATAGTTATCGAACAGCTGGAAGCAAAGGGTACGTTCGTGAAAACTTCTACTCCACCAATTTATTCTAAATTGTTCTACAATGAAAATGATTGAACCACCTAGTGCTGGTTTTCCGCTAACTGTGTCACCAATCTTATCAAAATGATACGCCTAATAATCTACTGATAAGATAAAGTATCGTCTAATAACTGCTCACAAATACATTAGATAATATGCAAAAGATAACTAATGTCCACTAGAAAATTAGATTTCTCTTAATTTATATACATAATGTCATGCCACTGGCATACGACTATGTAAAAGCATACATAACAAGTCACTATTAGTTACAATAAGGACAAATTTCCATAATTCTCATGCAACAGAAATGTACTAAGTGCGCATATAGCCTGTTATTATTTCCTGTTTGAATATCCGGGGTTAGTATGTGGCTTGCCAGATTATTAGCAGTAGAATACAGTTTCACGCATAGAATTATTATCAGTGACTATTCTGAAATCATTGACAAAATGAATTTACTTATTCTGCTTTGTCCAGACGCGTGAGAAAGAGAAGGCTCTTTTTTTCTAACTATTTTGAGAAATTTCATTGATATATGTATAAGTTCTTTTGTTCTTTGAGCGTATCTTAATTATTGACTTTGTAATCATCTATAAGAGTGATTTCGCTCATGGAATAGTAACTGTTGGTGTACAGTAACCAACTTTATGCAGATATTTCAGTGCAGTTATGTTACGTGATATAAAATTATTATATTAATATTGTTCCGAGTAGAACATAGAGCTTCAATAACACATCTCCATTTTCTTCTGTTTTCTGCCATCCTCTTTAGGTGGATCTACCACTGCCCAAACTGTCTCATCTCTTCCCCACACGATATCCTCCATATCACCTTCTCACCGACGACCCACTCGTCGCTTCTCATGTGGATTCCACCTGAGCAGTAGCGCGGCGCACGATGACATTCGACAGCTTCCTTAATGTAAGCCTGATCCATTTCCATTTTCTTCTACATATTTGTTTAGCGATCGTGGGTTTGTTGCCAGCCAGAGTTTCTTGTTGCTAATTCCCTCTGGTGATTTATCTTCAATATAAAGCCAGCGAAAGAAACTGTTGATGAAAGTCTGCACTATCCTGTTGGAAATCATTTCTAGTGACGCCCTGACCACTTTTCTGACCTCATATTTGTGTTGAAAATCTGAGTCTTTTTGTTAATGCTGAGGAATGCAGAAGAATTTCAAACTGGCTCTAGGCTGATGAAGGTGTATCTTGCTTTTTCGATTCCAGCGAACTTTGACGTCTTTATCAGTTCTAACTACCTGCAGTTGTAACTATGCTTGCTAGATAAGTGAAGGAAGTAACTTCGGTCAAATCTCTCCCATTAATTCTGATTGGTGCTGGTTGTTGTTATTGCTGCTGCTGCGGTTCTTTAGTTGTTCAAAGGTGGTCAGCAATTATTCAAGAATATTCTTTTTAAACTATGTCTAAGGGAAAATCTCGAAGATTCTCTCATGAACTGTAGCAAGTTATGTTGCATTTTATGGAGACACGCAGTGTAGCAGGATAATCTATCTAAAATTCCTCCTGAACAATCTATTTGCCACACTGATGCTTACTTGAATATTTCACCTAGTTATACAATTACAACTCCTTTTTTACCTGAATATGTGTGTCGTCATTCTAACATATACATGTCTTCTGATTCAGTCATTAATTATCAGTCTTTGGAATAAAGCAAATTATAACTAGATCTTTCTACTACTACTTCTGCTGGGTGATGGTGGACTGTTGAAGACAGCATACTGTTTTCTGAATGCGATTTCATTTGCATGAATTCAGGGTTATGCCTTGGGGGCTATTTGATCTTTGAAAGTTAGCGGGAAACGCGTTTATAAATGTCTTTTATTCCTGCCGACAGAGTTTTGATTCCACCTTTCCCAGGAAATTCCATATGATTCTCACATTTTTGTTACAGTTTTCTTTTTTTAACTAATTTTTTTGTTATACAGAACTTGTACTTGTTAAAGTCTTATACTGTACAGCTGCCTAACGGCATTTTCGATGTAATTTTTAGTTTCTTATATGTTATTATTGTGAAAAGAGTAGTGCAGATTTTATCATATGTGACTACATTTTTGTTACCATTGGGTTATTCTGGGGACTCTGAGTCACACGTGGAAGTTGGCTTAGCTAGACAGAGGAACGCGCTCAGATTAAAACACTTGGATTTTAGTTATTACATTTACATATACTTTTAATTACTCCTTGAATTTCAACAAATGAACGTGTTTAGGCTAGGTGGTAGCAATGGCTTTGGCAAACTATGGTGAAGTTAGTGTCCCTTAAACATCAAAAATTGTGGACGATTTTAGATCTCAACAAAGTTCACTTATTTTGATGTGGTTTTGTTCTCTGAGCTGGATGGTTAGTTTGCGAAGCTTTCATCACCTTACTAGGTGACATCTTCAGCGCATACTTCAATTTGAAGTGAGCGAAGTCAGGCGAACAACTACAGGAGAATTAGAAACTCAAATTTATAGAAAATCAACTCACACAGACCAAATACTGAATTACAACAGCAACAACCCAATAACACACAAAAGGAATTGCATACAAGCACTATTCAAGAGGGCAAGGACTCACTGCAGCACTTCCACCTTAAGAAAAATTGAAGAAAAGTATCTCATGGACGTCTTCCAAAAGAATGGATATCCACGGAATTTCATCAAGAGACATATACCCCCAAGCCAACCTAACAAAGCAAAAGCCACCAAGGAGAACACAAAGAAAATTGCCTTACCATATATAAAAGATATCTCAGAAATCACTACAAGACTCTTCAAACCTTTAGGAGTTGACGTCGTACACAAACCAACAAAGTCACTTCACTCAATTCTATGTCAACCGAAAGACTCAACAGCGAAAGAAGATAAAACCAACATCATCTACAAAATAAACTGTAACAACTGCGAAAAACACTACATCGGCCAAAGTGGACGTCCCTTCAACAAAAAAACCCCTTTACGATGGGACTAAATGAAAAAAAAATTTTTATGGTCGAAGAAAATTTACAAAAAAAATAAGGAAAATAAAAAACGTCAAAACAGGAAAAAAAACAGCGGATAAAAAGGAAAAAATAATAAACCGGAAAAACCAAAACCAAAACCCCAAATTTAAAAAGTTCACTTAGCCCACAAGGTGTCTTATAACTAAACTTTGCGAATGCCTACTTCCTTTTAGGTTCAAATGTCTTCGAATATGCAAGTATTGGTTTGTAGGGATTTGATTAGTTACAGGATTGTATCATAAGCTGACATTAGTTAAAGAACTATTGGAAAACCTGGAAGTCCTGGACAGCTGTTTTGTCCTAGTTTGAGACTCTTCGTCAGTACGCACCCATCACCGGGGTTCGAACTCAGGACCTTCTGGTTACAAGGCGAGCTCGTATACCATTAAGCCACCCGGACCCGATGCAATGGCCCACGAGTTCTAACTTCTGCCAACTCACGACATAGCGCGACCGCTAGCCAATGTCTACGGCGAGTATTCGTCCTCACACCCGACCTGTGAATATGATTGGCAAACCCAACAGAAGCCCTTCTTTCTGTCATTTATTGTACTTACTATTGTGAATGCATTTAAAATTATAAACGCAACTGGCAGTAAAGCAACAAAGAAACCATTTTATCAAAAAGAGACAGCTTTAGGGACTTACAACAGCGATATCAACAGATATCGTTTTAAAATATAGCAATTAACTTATGTGTAAATAGAGCTTATATTTAGGAAAATGAATAAACAGTCTCTTAAACAATTCATTGTTTGACTAGTCATGTTTTCCACTTTAAAAATTTGACCTGATTATACAAAAGTTCTTTTCCCAAGTGATTTTTTTTAAGATAAGGTGAGAAAGCCTATCCTATACATACATCTCTTGTGTTTTAAATTTTAATTGAAACTTAAAACCCAAGGGAGAATTTATTTAAATTTTAGTCTTTCCAGTGTTACTGACTAACATATGTATACCGCACACAAACGCTTCTTGGAAGATTGACAATCGGGCACGTTGATTATAGTTTTAGAATTAACAACAGGATAGATGTTTTACGGTTTCTGAAATGAAGCTACGAGAGTTATACAAATCTTAAAAAATTTCGTAAGTAATTAGTTACCAACGCTGAGTGAGACAGTGTCAAATTATCGCCGAATGGCTCGATGTTCTTGGGTAGTGTTGATTGTAAACCTTCGCATAAGTGAACATATTGTTGAAAAAATCCTAGTTTCGGTACTTTTAGTAGGATAATTGATCCGTAAAAGCGTTGTGAAAAATCTGTTTACCGTAATCGTATTCGTTTAAGCATTTCAAGTCATTTTGTAATTATTATCCTTTATCCTTGACCTGTGTATCATTAGTCTAAAACTTATTCATCTCCTCTTTACCTAATGTTTATTATATGTCTTTGTTTTTGGTTGATTCTTATTCCTAATGCTTCACTTTACCATTGTGTGATGATGGATTATTAACAAAAATGTGTTACGATTTTTGCGTGGATGAAGTCAAAGTTACTCCATGGAGTGGTTGTTTGCCCTCAGACTATCTGCTGGAAATGTTCTATTCCCTTTGATCCTTATAGACAGAATGCTGACTCATTTCAGCGGTGGTTCTTGGTGATTCTCAGATATTTACCTGTTTTGTTCGCTCAGATATTTTCTCCAAATACATTTTGTACCTGGAAAAGCTTTGGATCGAATAGTTACCTTATGGTATAGTTCAGCTTGATTTGTTTTTCGTAAAAGTAATTACTGTATAATAGCACCACGTGTTTTATGACCGTTATTCGTGTTTTGATACTGTTGGAATAAAATCCTACTGTGTTTGACCGATAGAAATTTGGCGTACCATACAGAAGAAAGCAGTAAATCATATTATTATTGTATTTTGTTGATTCGTCTACTGAATTCAGATCAAAATACTTGAATTTCTGTCGTCCCAGCACATAGTAATAAACGGATGAGGTATATTTATCTTCTAAATGCATCTTAATGCAGGTAACCTAGTTCGCAAGGATGTATTCATAACCTTAACTAAGAGTAACACGATTAGTTCAATGTAGTCACCAGATTCTTGAAGAACTGACTATTTATAGGATAATTCAATGACTATCCTTGTAGAAAATACTGATTTCAAAATGCGGATCGTAATAACATTTCACCAGAAGTAGCATGTTAGAATAACTGACTACGTAAATGCGAAAACGTTCTACGGTAAGAAAGGAACTAGGACGATTAAAGTTCAGATGGAAAAATAAAACTTAGACAGGACAAGTGATACGGTAGGCTGTAAATATAAATACCAAGACAATGAGAGAATTACAGTTTCCTCCTTTTATGTACATAGAATTTAGTCCAGTTTTTTTCATGTTGATGGCTGCAGAAAAACTTAGTGGGCTTAGATACTTCAAAATATACCCATTTTCCGTAAGACAGTTGGTCAATTCACTCCTCAATACCTTTGAGCACTTCAACCTCAATATTCCTTATTAAAGTGTACTTACACATCCAGTTGGATGAAGCATGAAACATTAATGTTCTTGTAATTAGTAGAATATCTCTAAAATACTCACTGTTGTCGAAACGCTTTCAGTCCTCTTTCGTACTTTTGTGGCTTCACTGACTTACGTATTATTTTGACATTATAGCTGCAGTGACTCAAATATGTTAAATGTTCTCCCTCTCTTCTTCATTGTTTATTCACAGTTTATTTCTGTATTCACTGTGACTTCTTTCCAGAACGTAGAAATTTCTATCATCTACTCATGAAACCTATCCACCATGTATTATGTGGAGGTATCCATGTCTGATTAAAAAATGTCATAGGAACATATCACTGACAATACAATCCATATTACACATTCTAAGCCATGTAAAGTATTTACCCTCATCTAAGTATTTCTTTGAGAATTCATTGTGATAACAATTCTGAAGTATTTCTTGTACAGCTGTTGAAATCAAGTTGTTTTGAGCAGTGTTTATTCTAAACTACTTCGAAATGAATAGCTATGTCTCAAGAAGTAGCAGTTATCATGGTGGAGCATTTGTATATATATATATATATATATATATATATATTGCCAATACTTGGTTTGTAAGGATTATTTTTGTGTTTACGAGTTTGACCACGGTGTCATAACAGTTAAAGAACTACTGAAAACCACCAGTGGGTTACTGGACAGCTGTTTTGTCCTAGTTTTGCGACTTGTAGGCAGTATGCACTCACTGAGTTTTGAACTCAGAACTTTCCAGTTGCAAATAAAACTTGTATAACAATCAGCCACTGCGACACGATCTAATGACCCATGAATTCTAGCTTCTCTCAATCCCTGATCTGGTCACTCCTAAATCCCGAAATAGTAGAAGTTAGAATTCATGGGCCATTGAATCGGGGCTCAGTGGCTGAATGGTGTACGTACTCATTAGCCTTGCAACGGAAGGTCCTGGATTTGAACCCTGGTGGTCGGCGCATACTGCCGATTATTCGTAAACTAGGATGAAACAGCTGTTCAGTACTCCCTGGTTTACAATGGTTCTCTCACTGATATCGATCCGTGGTCAAACTCGCAGAAACAATATATATATATATATATATATATATTACAAAAATTTTAAATTATAACATTCACACTTACCTTCGTTTTTGCGATCATATCGGAAATTCACAGATGGTTGTGGTTCACGTAGAAAAATCGGTGGTTCTGCCAGACAAGGATGTTTATTCAAATTTCTTCTGAGTAAATTACATCTAGTCAAGTCATCGATTGAACGACTTGGACGACTATCACATGTACATTGTTTTAATCCAGGACGTCCAAGATTCATTGTCTTTAAGGCAGACTGACATTCTCTTAGGTATTTACGCTGACATCCTAATAGATTTCGTTCTGAAAAATATTTATAAAATTACACTGTCAGAGTATCTGTTTAATATCAAGGAAGAGCTGAATATATTCTTTACAATAAATTACGTTTAGATTCAACAATTATAAAGTTTCTAGTGGTGAAGTTAGACATTACACACGTACACAGCAGGCACGAACTCATCAATGATATTGGAACTCTCAGTCAGGGTAAGGTAAATAACACTATACTTATAGAAACAAATATTGAGTGAAGTGTAATGATATATCGTTGATTTCAGGTAGATTACGGTAAGATAACAAACTAGGTTTTGGTTAAACCTATTCAGGGGGATATTACGGTTGGTTAGGGATAAGTGAGGGTTAGAGTTGAGTGTAGTTTTAAGTGTAGTTTTCCCATGTGGTGTCTTGTTCCATAGTAAATAGTGCGATCGTGCCTCTTGCCTGTCTAAATCTAAACTTTGACTTTTCACTAAATGTGTCTGAATCTCCTCGAAATCGCAGTGCAGATAGCCTTAAATTTGGTCAGCAATAAGAAACATTGTATAACTAGAAACAGTCTTTACACCTTATAACAATGACTCAACTCATTACTTTTTGCTTACTTTCCAGAAATCATAAGAGACAAATTTTGTTAAAATAAATTTTATCAATAAAGATACTCATGGATTATTGGAAAGCTTTCATTTTAGCCGATTTCTGATAGACACCCTTTTACTATTTTTTAAATAATGCATAGACCAAATTGATAATCACGAAATTCAAATAAGCGTATATTTTCACTTAGTTCATCTCTTTCATCGTACACACTAAGATATTTTTGCTTACTGAATATTGAACTATTTTTATAATTTATATTCATCGTTCATTTCACTTAAATATATTGGTTGGTTGGTTTTGATTACCTGCGTTTTGATAATGTAATATTCTATAAATAATGTGAATGGTTGTTTATCCTGATACGTCACGAAAACTAAAAACGTTTAGACGAAATGCCTTGAACGTTAACGCTAACTGTTACTTTCTAAGCATCCAGAAAATTACAGTAAATACTTTTCATAAAATAAATATTATAAATATATATATATATTTATATTATTCCTTTATGTTCCATGTGGAATATACGGCTTTAAGTTACAGGCTTGAACTTTCGGTAGCATAGGTGTCTTTTTACAGGATGGGATTGCTAGCCTCATGCCCAACCTTCCCTGTTTTCCAGTCTTATTGCTGGCTTAGCGAAGTAAAGGAGTGCGTCGGCTGAAGATCGGACTCCAGACCGTCTCTATGGTTGGGGAGCATTCTACCACTGGCATAATTCATTTGCACCAAACGAGGAGCTGGACGCATGATAATGGCCATTTGCCAGTGACACATCAAAAAATGAGTATTCACTGCAGTACTATAAGAGGTGAATGTTGATCACTGCTCTGACTACAGAAGTGGATGGTGACAGTATGAATTTCAAAAGGAACATGAATTCCTCCAAGATCACATATATGGCTTGCTGACGAGTGCCAAAATGAACGAGGCCAAGATCCAGAACCTCCTGCATACAGCATCAAACTATCTAATATCAAAACTGATTATTGTGTAAAGAATACTACTTCTGATAGCTTACTCTTGGGACTCTGAACTCACATGTTAACATTTTGTATGTGACTGATTGGTGTATGTCATTTAAATAAAGCGCTTAACAAGAAATTATTAAATCAAATAATGAAATTCAAACAATTTCTTGTCAATTTGACAAGGTCTAAATTCAAAAGGTGTACGGTTATATAGTCTGTGTGAGATTATGCCACAGAAATGATTTTTTTTCATAGTTTTTATTCAAAGTCAATATTTATATAACATGGGCTGTTTGTTGCAATAAAATTGAAATTTGACGAATATTCTAAGCCATAGAATGAGGACTACTCGCTCAGATACTACCGCTGAAGAAGCCTTGTTGATCTCACTAAACATCCTAGTTGATATCAGGTAACTGAAAAAATTTACCAGAAAGCACATCAATAAACAGTGACATTTGGTAATGTGAGATACTGCTTCACAAGCAATACAGATATGTCCACATGGTATTTACTTTAAGAGAAATCCAGTAGTTACACTGAAGGCTGAATTATCTATACTCGCTGTATTTAGTTGCATGTATCAATTCGACTAACTGCTTTGACTGTTGCCTTAAGTAATCTAGACGTCCACATCTGTGAGTACCTTCCAGAATGGTTAAACAGAAACTTTTTAACTGTCAATCAATATTCTCCCCTAACTCCTGACGTTTAGATGGATCATAAGATTAAGGTACACCAAATATTCCCGACAATATAGCGTGGTCCTGACAATTCTAATTCTACAAACAGTAGAAGTGCGTTCAGATAAATTATGTACAATGTATGTCATCGCTCCATCTGGCTTTAGAAGTGAGAATTTTTAAGGACTATATACATGAAGCCTACTAGTTTTAATCCACATAATATTAATTACATATCTTCGTAGTCCGCATTATCTTAACTAATATTGTCAACATTCAAACTTATAATTTACTCAGAGAAATTTTCTCTCAGATTATCTGAGCTTATCCAGTTTTACCGACACACACATTACTTTTCACAAACATCAAGCTCTATTTTTCTAATACAAAGCTGTTTGATATTTACTTAAACTCTGATACATTGACATGAAGTCCGGAATCCTATGGACTAAAATATGAAACCATCCATTTAAAAATAAGTAAAAATGAAGTTAAATCTCAGTATGAAAATTTGTACAAACAAGTCTTACAACTAACTTCATTTTAGTAAGGATATTATAGATCAGTCTAAAGTAAAATTTTTGGTATTTTGTCCATCAATTTCTTAAAGCCAAGGGAAGTCAGGGCAAAATGGTGTAAGCAAAGGTTACTATACAGCAGTGAAAGAAGTGAAGAAGATAATTGAAAAGGATAACCTGACAAAGAGGAAGGTGTCGTCAACATGAATAAATGTTGATTATGAAGATAAAATGGACAGAAATTTTCAAGAATCAATCCAAATAACTGATAGATAGTGCTAGACAGTTGGAGCAATCGGCAGGAGGCCTTGTTCGGCCTGCATTTCGTGCTAGTTGGCACTCACAAGTCAGTAAGGCATATCTGCAACCCTGAAAAAACTGGTGTCCCTTCTGAGATTCGAACCCGCGTCATCTAGTGGTGCAGTCAGAGACATTACCACTGAGCTATTCGGGCATACTATCGACCTCCTGTAGAACTGTATTCGATACTTTAATTGGGTACTAGTTACTAATGTTCAATAAAAGTGTCAGATAGCGCTGTTTATTAAATGTTAACAAAAACGAGTCAATTATTAACCTCACTGTTTTATTCCACCACATATTTTGAGTAATATCGGAATTCGAATTTAATCAAAAATTCATTTTCCTGATTATTTCACTGACTAAGAGGTAAGATGGAATAATGAAGTGCTTAGTATTTCACAAGCAGACATGGAATGAACAGTATTTACGCTTCGGTAGTTTTATTCCTATACAGTACTAACGTTCTCTGATGAAATGTCTGTTTTTAGGGGACCTGTGAAATTGGCATGTGCGATATAATACTGGATAATCTACAGTGCATACATTCAGTTTTATCCTGAAAAGTTTATTGTACAGCACAACAAGAAAACCACTCCTTGAAAAGACAGTTTCCACACCAAGGCAAGCTACAATCATTCAGTTAACAGCTCAAACGCTTGGGTCAGCTTTTCCTTATCTCTCTAGCCTACGACTAAACTACAAAATTCTATGGACCATACTTTACACTGTATCCACAAGTTCACCTATAGTTGTGGGGACACATAAGTGATCGATATGAACAGAATGTTACTGTGTCGCTGGAAAGAACATATTTCAAAATGATTATTAAGTCACATACAGAAATCTAAACATACTTAGTCTGAATAGGAATCCAGCATCATCCACTGTTAGACATTTTTTAATTTCCGTTAACTAAATCATTATTAATGACTACTTCTCACTTGTTTCACATTACTTTAATTCAAGGTTATTAGAGGTGATGGAAGCACTTTGAATTAATCATGTGCATCTCAGACTATGCGTACAGAAAACCATAGACCTCAAGTTTTACCCAACTATGAAATGTTTGACATATTAAAATTCAGTTGGCTATTATTATGCACTTTTATTTTATATCACTGACTAATTGTCCAACTCTTTACTTTATTACTATGAACCATAAAGTGGTCGTAAAGAACCTATGAAAAGTTATTATCTCGTATTCTTTGTCTTCGCAATACCTTATGCCGAGACAAATAACTTATTAACTCTAATGATAACCGTTTGTTCATATCGCATATAATAGCACTTACAATACAGTTACCCACTTTAGATTAAAATTCAGAAATATTTCACTCTGACTGTATAATTTTACACAAATAGGCGGCAATATGCCTGATAACTTCGAGATGGATTGCCAAATAAATATTTTATGGCCAAAACAAACAGTTTCATTATGATGATTGTCTTGTCTAATGATTTCTTGTTAAAAACAACCCCCTGTGTAATTGATTAAACTAACTAATCACCCACTTAAAATGAAGATATAAGTGCACAGTCTTAATCGGATGTCAAAACAAGTAATTCAACTAAGAGACTCTTTTCAGAGAATGTAATATCAAGCTGTACAATTTATATATATATATATATATATATATATATATATATATATAGTTTTTTAAGAGATTATATCCGGTGAGTTATATCGGTCATTTAACTCTAGTTTTGACCAAGAGGCTGCAGTAACACCCTCCTGGATGGCTACGAAGATGTGAAAGGGGAGCAAAAAAAAGCGCAACAATTGGACATCTGGTCCATAATGATCATCCTATCTCCACAGCCTCCGCCTCTAAAGTCATCTACAAGATGAAAAGTAATTTCCCCAAATCACTATGTGATCGACTCGTCTGTATTGCTGAAGCTATGGCTATCGAAACGGAAAAGCCAGATCTGTGTGTACAGAAAACGTTTGTTCAACCCCTCCAACTTTCATGGTCTTAATCCCTCCATGCTAAAGTATGGTAAACCCCAATCATATTTTGGCTCTACGCAATTTTCGTTTTGTCTATTCATTTTGTTTACTCTTCCTTTATTACCTCAGTTGTTGTTATTACTGTTCTCACTTTGTACTGTCCCCGGTATTATTTCACTTGTTCCGCTTGTCATTCTAAATCTATTCTGTTTTTCAACGTTAAATTTTATGTTATCAAATTTCACACAATGTTACGCAATATTTTTATTTTTCCGATTTGCCGACTAACCCTATAATAGAACACCCTTTCCAAGTTCTATAAGTCTCGTGAAGTATTCTTTATATGACATTAATTTTTTAGCCACTTGACATTTAAATATGATTATAATCACAAAAATTCTAATTGGATTTCATACTATTATTATTTTACGCATTCACACCGATGATTGAACTCCCTCACTGGATATTATTTCTTATAACAAAAACCATTTATACACAATTGTACAGCTTGATAATGAAGTCGTTGAAAAGAGTCTCTTCGCCGGATCACTTGTTGTGATTTTCAAAAGGATGTTACCGTCTACTCAATAATAAGAATAATAAACTGTTTACAGGAATTCATCATGAGCTGACATTGGTTAGAGAACCATTGGAAAACCTAGGAGTACTGAGCAGCTATTTCATCCTCGTTTGGGACTATTCAGCAGTATCTTCAGATACATCGTGAATTGGCAGAAGTTAGAACTCATGAGGCATTGGACCGGGTCCCAGTGGCCCCAAACTAGGTCGAAACAGCTGTCCAGGACTTCCAGGTTTTCCAATAGTTCACTAACTAATATCAGCTCATGATGAAATCCTGTGACGGGTCAAATCCATACAAACCAACATTTGAATAATAAACTGCGTTTTGAAGCATGACAGGAATCATCTAAGAGTTGTACTAACTAGAAGTGGTAGGTTTCTCATAAAACGTGATACGTGCACTACTTGGCCTATGCCATTTTCTTGTATCTTTACAGTTTCTTAATTTCAAAGTAGCTTCAGTCTTCAGCGTGATTTCAGGTTGAATTGAGAAAGAAATACAGAGTAACAGTATTTGGTTGACTTAACTTACCATCAGTCCAGTCTCCGCAGAATGTCTTAAATATTTCCACATCGACTTTACATATTCCACTAAGCGATTCACAATTATTTATCGCCTCTAGGCAATCTGTACTCGCATCTTGTTTTTCAGTTGTTTCACGACTGGATCTTGAGTCCTTTATCTCGATTTTATCTTTTCTCCATGCTTTCAACTCATTTTCTGAACTGTGGTGTTTTGAGACAACTTCCTGTCCTTCTGATGGTTGTGATGGAATGATGATATTTGCTCGTATATCCCAATCAGTTTGAGCTAAGCAATATGGTAGATTAATTAAACTGATAAAGCAGAGATAAGAATTTAACATGCTGCACATTATTTCTTCATACCAAGGCAAATTCATGCCTAGACTTTAAGGAACATTCTGCTGAGACAGTATTGGGTTCATGTTGCGAATCTGTAAAAATAAAATGTTTATAGATATTAAATGTCATAATAAGCAGTACATATAACGGCAGACTGAATGAAATAATTGTGTGCTTTAAAAGTTATGATTAATGCAGTCGATAAGGTGGTAGCTTTACTTTTTTTTTTTTCTTTTTTGAAATTTGGCCAATTTGCCGGGGACGGCGGCACCCATAATGTCTGACTCTAAAATGTAACGTCTGAAGCCAAGATAAAGCTGCATATCAACCTTGAATTCAAAGTCCACTTAGCTGCTGAAATCCTCGAGAGAAGGATCTCAGAGTCCCTAGAAAGGATATTACCTGAAGCATTGTAGAAAATTGAGTTTTTTAGTCCGCCATTATTGCTTAGTAACCTGAAAGATAAATCTTGCAGTTGACTACATCAGTGTGATTATCAATGCACCTGTTCGCGTGAATCAAGGTACGTCAGTTATTGCACGAGGGTTTTGTTCAAGAGGTTCGGTGGTAACGAAAAGGTGAAAATTACACAATAAAAAGCTCAATAGTTGAACATTTGGTGAATACTGGTCGTTTTATTTTCGCAGCTTCTTCCTTTAAGGTTAATAACAGTCTATCAAAATCACTACATATTCAACTTATCTGTATTTCTGAAGCTTTGGCCATCGAAACAGAAAATTCAAACTTTTCTATAAATAAAGTCTGTTCGTCCACTCATTTCATGATCTTGATCCACATAGGCTAAACAATTTCAATCAACATTCTTATCTTAGACCTAACGGTTTTCGTTTTGCTTATTTAACTTTATATCCTTCTTTTATTATTTCAGTTGGTATTATTAATAATTTAACTTTAAAATATTTCCGGTAATGTCATACCTGTCATCGAGAATTAGCGCGTAGCTAATCTGTTTTTTTTTCGGGTTAGACTACGGATTCATATCATTTAGAGAACCATTGAAAACCACCACTGGGTTTCTGTTTCATTCTAGTTTCAAGACTCATAGGCAGTAGGCACCCACTGAGTTTCGAACTAAGAATCTTCCAGTTGCAAATGAAGCTCGTATACCAATTAGCCATTAAGATCCGATCTAATCACCCATGAATTTTAACTTCGACCAGTTTGTGACTTTTAACGCGACTACCGACCACTATCATTGGCGAGAACTACATCCTCACACCCAGTGGGATTTTATTCTGCTGTAATTTTGTCCTGTGATAATTATTACCTATTGGCGTAATGTTTTCAATGCCTACTAATAGTGTTATTTCTAAAACTATTCAGGATTTATGCATTTCATGAACAGTTTTAAAGAGTACATGTTTATTTTTCAGTTGCAATTCATAGATTTCTTTAAAAAAAATCTGTATTTATAAAAATAGGTATACAGATATATAGGCTGATGAAAAATTCGTTGAAAAGAGCCATTTTGCTGGGTCACTCTTTTGATCTTTCATATGTTTTAGTGGGGATATTTCCTCAATTCAAAATTCACTAGTATATTAGTATGTATATATATATATCACACGCTACGTAAACCTACATTTAGACAAGGAATCCACTTTCGGCACTTTAATCTACCAGAAAAGTTATGATCACATCTCGGTTTTCAGTGCCATCACTGGTGGTCAGAGGAATTTAGAGTTGATAATCTTACTCTTCTGTAAGCTTAAAATATCATAATTTTAGTAGTTTGCTGAAATAATGACTACAGTACTTCTATTTAAGGCATGCAAGTGAGACTTTTGCATGAACAGATGTCATTGATGCTTTAAACTAAGTTTACCGTAAGGATTCTTTTTCTGTTACGCTTAGCGACTAGAAAAGATATCGGCTAGCTTCGAAGTTGTGTGCGGCGTAGAATGTTTTATGCATTCGATGTGAACTTAATCTGCTAGTCACTAATAATAATGGATGTCATATAGAGGGGATTTGTGATTTCGGTATTTCCATCTTAGGAAATAAGACAAGCTATTCATAACTCATTATTACATTATGAATACCTCTCGAGTAAATGTCAATTACAGCTTTTGCTATTTATAAAAAAAACTACGATATGATACTACTTCCACGGCCATTATGCTGGCTATTATAGCACTAAAACATTGTGCTCAAATGAAACCTCTAAGGTTCTATGTGGACCGACTCTAAGTGGAGAATAAAAGTTCAACTGATTACTCTCTAAAAACTTAACAAAATAGGTAGTAGTACATTGATCATCAGGATAATGCTTAGTGTGAGAATTCATTGGTACCAATTTTATTTTTAAAAAATAATGGTTTTGCAGTGGCTACTAGTGACTGACTACAGAATAAAGTTCTAGTGAGAAGCTGAGTTTGCATAATCGGGTACGAAGTCGAATACTCATCTATGACCTTAGATTGTGGTCACGATATATCACAAATTGAAAAAAGTTAGAATTTAAAGGTCGTTGGATTCCAGATGGAGTGACTGAGTGGTCAACTAACTTACCTGGCAAAGTGAAGCTTCTTAGTCAGAACTTGGGTGCATTTATGCGTGAGTATTATAATAAAGTCACAAAAAAGGGTAAGGAGTAGATACCTAAGGCCCTGTGTAGGATTTTCAATAAAGCAGGAATTAGGGTGGCATTCAAACCTACAAACTCATCCAGAGACAAACTCTGCAGGTTAAAGGAACCTGTCAGTTGACGCAATTTGACAAATAATATAATTTACAAAATACCATGCAATGACTGTGAATCAAGTTAACTGCATAGGTCAAACTAGTAGATAAGGGTAGTCAGATTGTCGGAACATAAGGTCTTAACTAAGGTAAAAACGGCTGACCCTGAGAAGATAAGTAATTTATAAAAAAGCTCAGCAATTTCACTGCATGGATTAACACACAACCACACACTAGGGTGGGAGAGGGTTTAAATCCTAAAACGTTATATAGGTAAATGGAGAGAGAGAGGTTGAATACTGAATCCTGGATCATCGAGTCTACACCTAACACGTGCAATAAGAATTACTCATCGCTCATACCGGAAATATGGAAAATGCTATTACCAATCAAATCAAGCGATGGAAAATAATGGAATTATATAAACGATGTTAGAATGTTGTGTGAGTAGTGGTTTGATATAATTATGAGAAATAAATTGTGCACAAAACGTCATCACTAAATATTACTGTATAACACTGTGAGACCTTTATCAAAATAATTCTCACCCATAATAGAGTTACACTCTACTACAGTGCACAAGTTTTATTCTTATATCAATTGTTTTATATGGATTAGATTTATTTTTCGACTTTGACCACAGATTGTTATTAGCTGGACAACCCTTGTAAACCAGGAAGTGCTGGTCGCTATTGCATCCTGGTATGGGCATATTTGATAGTTCACATCCAGTGGGTCTAAAACCCAGGATCTTCCGCTTACAAGGCAAGCGCGTATACCATTTATCCACTGAGACCTAGTGTGTGACTACTCCCGACGTCTCTCAAAGTTGGATGAAACAGCTGTCCAGTACTCCCTGGTTTTTGATGGTTCTCTCTCTCTCTCTATATATATATATATACATAGGAAACATTCACTTTGTGAGGGAGGCATGATTATACGTATACATTTTTTTCAGGTCTGATGTCAGCTAAGTTTCGATAAAACAATTATAGGAGATGTGAGCTGTATATTCAATCACCTTTGTAGAGCGACAATACTAAAGGAAAGACAAAGCGGTTTCTTTGGAAACTTATTATTCTTCATTGTGGTCACCTGCGTTGGTAACAAATAGGACAGTATAATGAATATTATTTAGCCTAGAAAAAGCCTACTTTTTATTACGAATATATAATACAACATCATTTCGTCTTCGAAATCCCAAAGGAAAAATAAGGCAATAAGAATAAATGCTTTTAATTGAGTTTATATTTTGTTTGAACAAATTATAGTTAAACGCCTTACTATTTGTTTTTCATACGCTCATCTCTGTCCATTTAGCCCAACATAGTCATTTATACACCCATTGAATCAAACTATGCATTTTCTTAAATTATGACTTGTTTCATTTCAGGTCACTCACTTCATTGAGTGAAAATGTGATGTGAACATTTTTTTCTCGAACGCAAGTGTGTGATAGTATAGCTTTTCTCTTATTCTGACCTTTTGCGAACTTCATAATGGATTTTATGGGGTGGTTATTTAGCACCAGCGGTTCTTCTATCTGTTTGAATTAGCTATCTAGGTCGTCTGACATTTTTCCTCAGTTTTTCAAACGCTTAGACAGACTTGTCTTTGAAATGAAGAATAAGATGACTCAAATTTCATGTACCTACTAAAGGACATTAGATTTTCATGGCCACTAGTGTGTAGGTTATCTTCTATTCGTTTTAATTTATAATCTAACACAGCTAATTCTCCTTGTTTGTTTTGTAGCTCAAATGTAAATTTTATTCCCTGCACTAGTGAATTTATATATATGGGGAAACTGCACAAATGTTCTGTTTTTAACACCAGAAAAGTATCATCTGCACGTCTTCCCCACACCATAGAGTTAGAAGAACATTTTTTCCAACCTGTATATTCCCAGCTATCAATAAAGACATATACCACCATTAGGGATTTTGCTGGTTCCGTTGCTTTCCATTCTGTATGTCCATATATTTAATCATGGAATCTGAGAATAGTGGACGTCAGACATTATTGGATCCCCGGAATAATTTCTTCTATGTGTAGCTTTGTCCTATTGGTGAGTTCCGGATCGGCAGTTCATTCATTCTGGTTGCCTTTAGAGCATTTTTGTTTGGCTTATTAGTATAAAGACTTATATCAAAAGTAATCATTTTGTTATAATGCTATTTAACTTCTTTTTTATTCCATATAAATTGGTCATTGTGCATTAGACGGCTTCCTACGTAACACATCATTAGTATTAAATGCTTAGACAACTTATAAGTAAGGGAAGTCATTTGGATCCATTACTGATCTCATAGGAAAATTTGGTTTAAGTGGTTCAACAGTAACATATATTTTAAAGTATCACTTTTGTAGGGATCCAGTTTGATCGGTT